TTTAACAGGTTATAACTACTTTATTTTTGGCGATAGAACGTGCATTAAAAATAAATTTTATGATTTTTAATCAAGCTTATAATTACGTAGGTAGGTATTACCAAAAATGTCATACGTTATCAAATGTCACGGTTAGGTTAGGTTAGGTTAGGCAAAAAAAAACAAAATACGGCCTTAAACAAAAACCCTAAATAAAATACGGCGTTAAACACGGCTGGGAATGACAATCGATGATAATTTTTGGCGAGGTTGGGCTCTAGGCGTGATTACTTTTTAATTGCGCCGCCTACTGCCAGTTAGCCTAAGGAGGTTGTAATTTATTTTTAGATTTTTGTATTAAAAATGATTTTTGAATGGTGTAGTTTAAAATTCGAGAAAACATATATTTTCTTGGAAATATATTTGTTTGGTAACGTTCTATCCTTTTTTAATCTTTATATATTTAGTGTTAATTTTTGACAAATTTTATGTCAAATCTTAGTAAATGACGTGTAGAGATTGAATTTGTCAAAACTATTATCGATTGTCATTACCCAGCCATCTTTGACGCCGTTTTTTCAATCATAATGTAGAATGCAGAATGTTTAGGAGAGGGGTTAATTACCGCGACCTTACAGATCTATTGTGTGTTCCCCTTTCTTGAGTTATAAAGAGTAATAAACTCATCATACAGTTTCAGGTCTTTGACAAAAGTCAATATCTAAGACGGCTTCACAGAGGCTAGCTCTCCATCCTCGACATCAGCCGTTCAAAAGTTCATGGCATGAACGGTCGCCACACTCAGTAATAAGGTGTTCTGGTGTTTCCCCATTTTCCCCGCAGAATCTGCATTCACCGTTATTTCTCAGCTTCAGCCTACTGTGTTCTGTTAGAAACTCCGTGACAATCCAAATATTGTTTTTACTTAAATCAAGGAAAATCTTTGATTTTTCTCAGTCGTAAGTTCTGAGGAACTTTTTCGAGTGTCTGAGAACTTTAGAGGACTCCCGCTCCAGGTTCTTCAGTTCTGCTTTTAGTTGGTTTCTGCTTGGAAAGAAGAACGGTTCTGGTCCAGTTAGTGGGAGTGTTTGCTCCTTCTATGGCTAGATCATTTGCTTTTTCATTGCCTTGGTGAACTCGCACCCGTAGTAGGAGGACTTTAGTTTCTTTGCCTAATTTGATCACCCTTTCTAGAGATTCTTAAATCAACTTCGAATTGATGGTTACTGAGTTGATTCCGTTTACTGCTGCTTGACTATCGGATAAGATGGCTATTTCCTGTTTTCGATAGTTCGATAGTTTCTCTAAGATAAATTGTACGCATCGTTCGATAGCGTAGATTTCTGCCTGAAGGATGCTGGGGTAGGTGCCCATTGATCGGAGTATTTAGTTTTCGGCCCAAATACTCCTATCCTTATCCCTGCTTTGGTTTTGGAACCATCAGTATACCAGTAGTATACCACGTTATGGTTTGGTCTTTTACATGTTGAGCAAACGTTTCTCCCCTCAACAACTTTTTATTACTCAATACTACAGTCAGGTGATCATAAGGTACTATAGGGGTACTGTTAAGTTGCTAAGAGTTATTACGTTACTAGAAGTTAAAAATCCCTATGCATAATATTAGATTTAGGGGATTCCAATAATTATTTAAGAACTGAATAGTTTCTTTCAAATAAATAATTGTTTATTTATTCACTTAAAAAAACTATATAATGTAATACATTGCATTGTTAGTAAATTTACTGCACTGATAGAAAACGACCAATGAATCACAGCCATTGATGCGATTAAGATCTCAAAGGGTTTTCATACACGGCAAATAAGATAAAAATTAATTAACCATTACGTATCAAAACTAATTGCAAATACTTATTTCAGACAGAGAATTTTAAAAAACTTGCTTTGCAATATAGTCGAATACAAAAACACGGACACACTTAATCGTCTGATTGTTATTAACAATTGTTTTGTATTATTCTGATGTATTGAACCGTACTTTCTCATAATTTATATTTAAATCAATGAGCGAGTCCAGTTCATGGGAATAAAAAACGGTCAGCGCTGTCCTTGAAGATGCGTAGCCGTGTAATGAGACTTTTAATTTATTTTTATATGCATTTAGTTTTTGACCAATGATTGAATCATTTGATAAGTACATGCAATTCTGTTAACTCTATACGTGTATAATTTTGTTCCATGTTTTTCAAGTAATTTGCCTTTTTTCAAACTGTATAATTATTTGCATTGACATAATTAGGTGAGTCAAATTTACCAACTGTATTAACCTATTTATATATTTTTATAGTTTAGTAGTAGAGTAAATCCTTTAAATATTTGGTTAAAATTGAGAAGTTTCAATTGTGAATTGATGAAATTTAATTTTTTCACCAGATTGGAGATGAATAAAAAAAAATATATTTAAATTTAAAAAACTCCTAGTACGAAACTCTTCAATTATTCAATTAACCTTTACACGAACACAAATCTGTAGAGTGGTGACTACTCGGATGATTTAAATCCTCGAGTACTGATCCTCGAGGATTCCAATAATCGGATGATCATACGAGGAATCATCAGTCATAAAATAAAATATAGATACTCCATTTACTCCAAGGCCTGTATAATATATCGATAGATACACGAATCCTCTGTGCGTTTTGTTTGCTGTTTGTTGACACACTGTTACCATGTATTGCCTGAATGACCTGAATTTCAAATAAAATAAATAATTATTTTAAGCAAATTTTTAAACCGGATTGAGTTTTTTTTGCAAAACTATGGTTGACTATTAGACCTTGGTGACATATCACTCGCGGATATAACAACGTATATTAAAATATTGGTTCTTGAGGGTGAATTTTAAAGTTTGTGGAATTTATCCACAATAAGCAGATCTGCTCTTAGTACATATACAAAAAAGCCAACGTATCTTGAAAAAAGTGTGTGCTTATTGCCACTGAAAGAGAAATCTACAAAAAATTGTAAGCACCACTGACTGCATTGAATCAAAACGGAAACCAGCTTGATACTAGTTTGTTTACCAGCTTGTTTAACCAGCTTGTTTACTAGTCAAACAGATTTGCTCAACCGACCATAAATGCATAACGTTTCAGGTGTTTTATCTCTTGCCAACGTCTGAAGCTAAAAACAAAAAGATAAAAGGTAAAACTGTTTAAAATGTCTAACTACAACTACTCAAGAATACTTTAGTTTTTCGCAGAGTTTTTTTCTAAGAACCCGCTTAAAAAAAATAGACATTATTATTCAAAAAATGTTTACTACTTACCCCTTAACACCCATAATTATCTTTTTAATAATAATATAAAAATACGCTGGGTATCAAAAATATAAAAAATAATTTGTAATTGCATAAAATCTTACTGCAAATGTGTCTTACATAATATAAAAGTACACGTTAAGGTCACTCCTATAGCATGAATGAAAGCAGCTATACATTAAATAAGTGCAAATATTTTTAGGGGTAGTATATTTTGACCCCAGAAACACGATTATGAGGTTTTTTTCGCAAACATTTTTTCTGGAAAATTTGGGCTTTATTGGAATTTATTTTTGGTTTTTAGTTAAAAACCATAATTTCTTGATAATATGGCAACATAGGTAGCAGATTAAATTTACAAGAAAAAGAACTCAGGATAGATCCCGTGGTTGTCAAAATTTAAACAAAAAATTATTTTTTTTTGAAAATCTTCAATGTAAAATAACTCGGTTTTTTAGAGTTATTTGAAAAACGGTAAAGGGGCAATATGTTACTTTTATTGAAATATTGTTGCCCTAAAAATATTTGCAATTATTTAAAGACTCACCCTGCATAGACGAAACTCGACATTACACTACGTTAGAATTGTCTACACTTTGTTTTAGGATTGATTGTAAACCACAGTGGTCTACAATCAATCCTATCTAGTGATCTAGAGTGACTCTAGATCAGTATATTCCGTACTTTTTTTTGACAGGTTGTGTTGTTTAGATATAAAATTGCCTCAGCATCCACATGTTGGGGAAGTCTGCGTTAAATATGTAAATTACACAGGGTGGGGGAAGCTATTAAACGAATTGTTAAAGAATTAATTGTCCTTTTCAAAGTTAGTTAAATTGTAATTTGCATTTATAATGCATACGTGAATAAAACACCTTATAGTTAATAACTACTCTTAAAAAATATACTTAGTTAACATTTCAGCAAAAAAAATCGCTTAAAATTAAATGATTAAATTCTTCTAATATGTCACGGCACAAAATAACTATACAGTTTTGATAGCGCATTATCCCCTTGACAGAGAAAATATCATAAAACTGAAAATCATCTATAATTAAGTCATCAAAAATAACAGGAAATTCAATAAACAACTATATTTCTATTGAAGCACATCAGGATATTGTATTTAATTATTATGCAACGTAATTGATAATTATTGAAACATTGAAACAAGTAACTATTTTCATCCATTCAAATCAGAAATGCAAGTACTATTAATTTATGCAAGTAACCTTGACACTGACAGGGATCATGAAGGTGATAAAATATAGAAAAAATGTGTTGTTTATGGATGTTCTTGAACATCTTCTTAAGGATTAAATGTATAAGTAATGAGTTCTGTGAAAATGTCGTTTTTCAGTGTTTATGACGCACCTTAAAATATCTAAACAAAATAATATGATAAATAGTTATATGGTAAAGAATACTTGATAGAGAAAAAACAAGAAAAGTCATATTTTTTTAAAGCAAAAAAAATATTTAAAAAAAATCCAATCTACACTGAGATGCAAAAATTGTAACGGATTTATTTTCCTTTGATTTAAAATCAAACTTTCATTAAAAAGGAACATCAAAATGCAAAAAAGCTTAATAAAATTAAAAGAAACATCTTTTTTTAATGTTATTTTATAGAAAATTATTTGTAATATATCCACTTTTAATATCACCAGTGTTTAATATCGTCAGTCATTAGGATTTAATCTACAGGCAAATTTTTACTTTAATTACCGGTTTGTTTCAGATAGTACAAATAATATTAAGGAGTCAGATTCATTACACACCGTTGTCACACATCGACTGAGAAGAGCTATATGTCCTATCAATAGTGAATGTGTACCTTTAGGTTCATGCCCACTTCTTTCTAATCTCTTAAGTAACGACTGTGTGAGATCAGACAAGTAAGTAATCAAAAATAAAGAAATCTACTTACTAATCAACAAGCATCATCAAATTTATTAGCTAAATATGGTGTTTCAGACTAGGTGAACTTAGTTGTGGCTTTCAAGGTTCCGGATTGGTATGTTGTCCGAGCGTGGAGAGCCACGGGGAGCAGGACAAAATAAGTACACCTGGGAAATATGTAGATGGAGTGAAATGTGGCCAATCACAGGTCGAGGGTGAAGATTATGATGGGATTGGGGCGTACCCGTGGGTAGCACGTATCGGATTTCGAAGTAAGGATTTCGAAAAAATCACAAAATTCGTGTCAAGGATATATACCTAAATACTGCATTAAACGGTTTGAGTCTGAAAGGCCTGAAATTCTGTAAAAAAATTGTAATAGTCGTGATATATTATGGTAAACTTACAGCAGAACCACAGTAGACAATTTTTATACAGTTTTAGTTTGTATAGAATGTAGCCCAAAGCATCTTCATTTTCGGATTTCTTCTTTATACAATGTCTTTGTAAGTTCTTGGGAGGGAATTTTATATTATATTGATTTTGAGGACTAATAATTTTGCCTGTATTTCCCAATTTCTTACTTACTTTCAACTTAATATTATGACTTGACACCAATCTCTATTTTTTTAATAATTATTGCTTAATTCCCATTCTTAAATTATACGTATATTATTTGATTTAAAATATACACAGGGTGCTACAAATTCGAGGTATGAGCATGGCTATCTCGGTAACCGTAATAGATACGAACATGGTTAAATTAGGGCAAAGTTGCGCTTTTGGATGTTCACCAAATAGCTGATCGTTTGTGGGATACAGACGTCGATTTTTTTTAAATACGGACCTACATTTTTTATTTCAGGTTTTGAAAGAACTCGGTCTCCTAAGTACAATGATATGCCACACTTTATACTTTTTATTTGTTTCGGACATTTGAACGCAATTTATTTAAACTAATTTCAAGTCCGGCTCTGTTTTTTTTTAATATTTAATCTATTCACCGTTGTAATATTGACAAAACTTCAAACTTAACAGTGGCGTGGGGTAAAATATTGAATACGGAAAATCAAATGCAATAAAAAATAACAATATAAATAACAATAATAGAAGGAAGGTGGAAAGAAAGGAAGATGGATTGGAAACTGTTGAGGGTAGAGCAGTATAAAGGCCAGCGAGGTTCCTGGACCTGTCGCCAAGAGGAGGGGAAGGGCATTACTTGACGTCATTTGTAAAAGTGGAATCAAAATATATTTTTCAACATTTACAAAAAGCACAAAATGCATTCGGAAGTATAAGAAGAAGGTATGTTCAAAGAGTTATAAATAAAATTGAACAAATAATAAATTTGTGCAAAAGGAAGGCTGGTAACCCTTTCGAACATGTAGAGCATTAGAAAGTAGTTAGTAGAAGTTGATTTATTTATAATAACTGCGATTAATATTATGCAGATTATTAGATCGTACACTGATATTTCAAATTCAAAATGAAAAAAGTTAAAAGTAATATATTTTAGTTGCTGACCTGGATATTATTTATTTGAATCTTTTAATTAGCTCGATTTTCCTTATTCAATTTTAATTAGCGTTGGTCAGTATTGTTGTGATGAATATAATTAGATTAAATCATTTTAAAAACCAGAGACGCACTTGAAATTATTTTAAATAATAATTAAATAGTTTTGATGTTGTTAAGGTACCCAAAATAAAGAAAGTATAAAGTGTGGCATATAATTTTACTCAGAAAACCGAGTTCTTTCAAAACCTGAAATAAAAAATGCAGGTCCGTATTTAAGAAAATTAAGCCGGCCTCTGTGTCACACAAATTATCAGCTAAAGAATTTTTTTAGAAATTTAAAAAAAAGCATTTGAAAATCTAAAAACACTATCAGATAGCCCTAATAAAATTGCAATTAGAATATCCAATTAGTTTTTTGATTTTCTAAAAAGTAAGGACAGAAAAAAATAAACTAATTCATTTTCAAAAAAATCAACAATCCTTGAAATCTCCTTTATCTTTGTGAACATCCCAAGGCGCAACATTGCTCCAATTTAACTATCTTCGTATCTATTACGGTTTCCTGTATAGTATATATGTAGGTTTTCCTGTATAGTATATATTTTCATTAAACTAATTCTTTGTTTTTTCTTGTTTTCATTTAGATGTTTTAACAGGAGAAATAAAATATCCTTGCACAGGATCAATAATAAGTAACAAAGTGATTCTAACTGCAGCCCACTGTGCTCTAGCCAAAGCAGAAAATTATAAATTGTGAGTGTAAATCTATAATCTGTTATGTTCTTAGATATTTCTGAGATTTTCATGTAATCAGAATAATTTTTATTTTGTTTGTGTTTTATTTTAGATATTCAGTCAGAGTTGGTGAATGGCAAACTAACACCGACATTGACTGTGGAGAAGAATTTTGTGGTCTTCCTGTTCAAGATATTCCAATAGGACATGTAATTGTTCATCCAGGATACCAAAAGCAGACATACAGACACAATATAGCCTTAATGGTCTTGAAAAATAAAATAAAATACGGAGGTAAGTAATAAATTAGATTTTTTACAACACAACAAAGTAAGCTGTGCGTGTCTAAGGAAAGAAAAATTTCTAACACAGGCCAAATAATGGTCCACCTGGTACACACCTATGGCTACCATAAACAATGTCTCAACAGCTTAAATATTTAATATAGGTTTAGTAATATTTAATATAGGTTAGTATAATATTTCTGTATAATTATGTTTCGTTCTTCTTGTTTCAACCAAAAGTGCATAATTTTCATTACGATGTTCAGTCATGGAGATCGCCAACGCCTGAAGACAGGTACGGCACCGCAAGAAGAAGATGTTTCGTTCTTCTTGTTTCAACCAAAAGTACATAATTTTCATTATTATTAAAATATTAAATTTATGTTTTATAAGTGGATACATAATTCTTACAATCTAATATTCCCAGAAGCCCACTCAACTTTGAAGCGAAAAAATTTTGAATTTAATATTATTTTTTAATTATATTAATTATTAAAATTATTATTTTTAATTAATATTCTGTTAAAAGTTATAAAAAATATGAAGAAATAAAGAATGAAAAATGTAAGAAAATAGCAGTGCGTTTTACATTTTGTTGAATATTTTTAACTCTAAATTATGATGAATTAATGTAACCAACCTTTGTATGAAAAATAACAATATACACGTGGTAGATTCTTGCTATTATATACGTTACATCCGTTTTATTTTGTTATTTTTAGTGACAGCCCAGCCTATCTGTCTGCCGGAATCCTGGTCAGTCACAAGCAACAATGGCGTTCTAGTAGGCTGGGGAAAAACAGCTGGACAAACTGGTAAGTAGAATATTAATTTTGCAACATCCCGTGATTATAGATTTTATTAATACCAAATTACTTACTCAAGGAAGTCAATAGGAAATCAACATGAGTATATTTGTGTAGTATAAAGCCACTAAATAGTGCTGTTCGGATTCGACATTAAACTACAGATAACACAGATAACACAGATATGTTATCTGTGATTAAACAGTGTATTTGTGAAAAGCTGATCCCATGAAAAACATAAATTGTAAAAAACGCCTCGCGTAACACAGTTTTAAAAACTTGCAAATAAGTTTTGAGCTTTAACGTCAAATTAAGCTATTTTAATTAGTGCCTATAGAATCACATATTTAACCACTTTGTTGTCAATTGGTATATTATCAGTTATCCAGTGCCGGATTTACCTTATGTACCGCCGGGTGCTAATTTTAAACAACGCCTCGGTTAGTCATGTAAAATTGTAAAATAGAGACGTAAATTTTTTTTTCAGATGCCACGCCCTAATCGTCATAATTTTGCATTATTACCATACACACCATAAGCATACGAAAAAAAAAGATTAAACAAAAAAGTTAAAACCTTAAATTTATTAAAAGTGTAGCCAAATTCCAAGGTGCCTAATATCTCTAGATAAGACTAGGCTTTGGTGCGAACCTCCGGCTTCTCAAAATTATTAATATAAATAGTCTCAAGTGAATCTTGAATTTCTTTATAACAAAACCTAAATGTTTTAACGGATTCAAATCTAGAGGACCATCTCGTGATATTTACACGTTTTAATGTATAGGTCTTTTTTCCAGATACATTTTCAAGCGATTTATTTAAAATTTGCCAACGACGTGTTGATAATGAGTAAAAATAGGTACATATATATATATATATATATATATATATATATATATATATATATAGAGAAAGATATATAGTTGTTATATATATAGCAGCATATATATATATATATGCTATATATATATATATATATATATATATATATATATATATATATATATATATATATATATATATATATATATATATATATATATATATATATATATATATATATATATATATATATATATATATATATATATATATATATATATATATATATATATATATATATATATATATATATATAAGTATATATATATATATATATATATATATATATATATATATATATATATATATATCTTCAATTAACATAAAAAAAACTTGGTTCCAGGCAACACTCGGCAGCATTTTTGACTACTAAATTTAGCGAATACGCTGCACAAGGAACATAGCGAACAAGAGCTAAATTGTTTCTTGATTTAATTTTTGCCTGTAAGTCGTTGTAAGCGCCAGACATATTACTGGCATTGTCATATATGATTGACCCCTGCAGTCATTTAAACTTAGACCCAATTTAGCTATTGTTTCCAAGGTAACAGTTTCGATATCTGTGCTCTTGTGTCCAACATTTTCCAAAAATTTGATAAAACGTTCCAAAGGCATACCTTTATCAGAGCAGTACCTTATAATAAAAATGAATTGATCAGTATGCATAATGTCTGGTGTAGAATCAACACTAATTGAAAAATATTTTGACTACTGATTTTGGGCGCCGGCGCCGGCGCCGTTTTTGAAGGTGCTGAGTAATTGTTTTTTGTTGGCGGGCGAGCAAGCCCTCAAAGACACTTTTTTTTAATAATTCTAGTTAGTGCATAGTTTTGCCAATTAAAAAAACTACCTGTATGTTTTAATCTTGCACTTTTTCAAGATTGAAATAAATATGTTTAAAGTATAGGTACAATATAGGAACCAAAATTTCAGTCTGCTTTGCTAACGCACTGTCAAAGAGGCGAAATATTTTTTTTATTTTTTTTAACACCGCCTTTTACCCCCTCTCAAAATTTGCCGCCGGGTGCTATTAGTACCACTAGCACCCCCCTAAATCCGGCCCTGCAATTATCCATCAACATTTAGTGATTCTGTTATTTATTAGTGATCGTATCAATATCGACATCGTTATCTGTATATACTCAGATGCAAAAAAACGCAACAGAATTTCTTTTATCAAATTTAAAATGTTATATTTGTTATTTTTAGTGCAATTTTTATGATTTTTTTGCAAACTGTATAAATAAATAAGGAAAATCTAGGAACTAGTTGGTTGCAGTCGGAAGGGTTTGAATTAATACACATTGTTAATTATTGTGAAACTTTCGGAATTTCATTCCTTCCTCTGGACATCAACGTGGTACAAGAGACCTTCATAAAAAACTACATTAAAGAAATTGGCTTGAGGGATGCATTGAAAACTCCACCGTAAAGCATCGCTGACCAGAGTGACCAGTCCTAACGACGGTCCTTTGTCGGTTGCTTTGCGCCTTCACGCCTTAGATTGAGACGCAATTGAATTTTTACTCGAACATCTCTCAATTATTCTAATTAAGTATATATAAGTTTTAAATAATAATCAGGTGGCTTAATCGCCCCAAGAGAGCCCCCTTTTTGTGGCTGACTAGTCAGCGATGATTTACGGTGGAGTATTCAATGCATCCCTCAAGCCAATTTTTTTAATGTACCACCAACCTTTCCAAACCCTTCCGACTGCAACCCCACTAGTTCCTAGATTTTCTTTCTCACTAGTCAGTCGATACTACTGTCTGCTAAATAAATAAGTATATCAACTTTATTTCGTTAACTTAGTTTGTTATAAACTTTTTTATATTGGCTTTATTACTCAGGATTTATCGAATGGTTGTTTTTACGCATAACTTTAAATCACCGTGTGTAATAATTTCGCGAGCAAGTTTTCCTAAAGTATTATTTTTCTGTTAGAATCATGTCTCTTGAGAATTTTGATTGTTTGTCTCATGTCAACAAATGCCTTGGTTAATTTTCAATAGCTAAATGAACTTGCCACAAACAATTTGCAATTTTTTCAATTATCATTACTTTCTGATGTTATTTTTCAATATGACGATGTGGCTTTGGTGACTATTGTCGTAATGTTGTATTACGCTGCATTGGATACTCTGCTACACTAACTATACTAAATATAAAAAACCATTAAATAGTAACGATTCAGTCCTGGTTTTAATAAACATTAATAACGATAACAGAACTAACGTTATTAAAATAAACATCTATAACAATCAACTATACAAATATGAAAAAAAAACTTATAAAAAATACTGTAATATTTTGTATTGCCTCCCTTGGCTGCTACAACTGCCTGTAGACGTCTGGTCATACTGCCAGAAAAAAAAAACTAAGTTACGAATTAAAGTTGATATATTTTTTATATACATTTCGCTAAAAATATTATGAAAATTGGGCTAAAAATATAAAGAATATAACATTTTAAATTAGACGAAAATTTTCTCTGTTGCCTTTTTTTCCAACTCAGTGTATATAATAATTTTAATGATAATTACTTGGTAATTGCACGATAAAGCAGCTGACTGAAAATGTGACGTCAAATACTCATTTGATATGTTTCAACTAGGGCTGTGCCGATACCGATACTCAGTATCGGGTATTGGCCGATATTGACTATATTCTGATACTCGCCGATACCCAGTACTTCAGTTACCAAAGTATATGTCAGATACTTTTTTGTGAAGAACTTCACTAACATCAGAAAATGTCCGGAGATTAATATTTTTAAAGAAAAATTTTTATCTCTTAGGTTGAGATAAACCTTTTTTGAAGTTGTTAGCTGTTATAGCTAAATCTTATGTAACGAGTTTTGATTTTTAATAAAAGTTAAGTAAAAAAAACCTTTTATCTGAATTTCAGATACAGTATCGGCACAAATAGGTAATTTGTGGTATCGGTATCGGATTTTAGGTATTAGTTACGTTGATATTAGCATATTTAGAAAAAAAAAATATAAAGTTTTGATATGTTGAGGTTATACGTACTAAAAGGAGACTTTTTAAAATCAAAAGAGTTCCTAACTGTAAAGTGTGAGCTTCACCCCCCAAAACCACCCCCATTACGCACTGCGGTGGTTTTTCTCGTTTTTCTCGAAAACCATTAGTCGCACAGAAAATTTTATTATTATTAAAAAATATTCCTTATAAAATTGTCTACAAAAAAAGCTCTATTCATTATTTAGATTTATCCAATGTATTTCGAGTAATAACCGTTTGAAAAATAGAGTACGAAAAAATACAGGTCGCCTTTCAAATTATAGTCTCCCAAGGTATTTTAACGTGTTAAATACACGCAACAGATATAATACTGTATAATATAAACAAAAATATTGCCTATTCCACTAAACTAACATTCATACTTTTATCTACATATTGTCATCGTCTATAGTTTCTAGAATGTGCTCAGTATTCGAGCAACTTTGCCCACGACAGGTTCCGCACATAGCTGTACATTTCATGCCGGCTTTAATGCAACTGCATCTTTTTACACAATCTTGTTTGCTGATGTTCAAATAGCTGAGAAAAATTAACAAGTTTTAGTCGTTGGACAAGATGTCGATCTTGTTGTTTTATTAGCAGCACTTTCCCTCGATGAAAAAGACATTCTTTTTCTGAAAGAAGCCATAGGTGATGTGAAACAACGAATGTATAGTTCGAGAGACTTGCAATCATTCAGTATTATACGTAATTTAAATTTCTTTATTTATTCACGCTATTAGCGGGTGTGATACAACATCAGGATTTTTTGGAAAAGGAAAACAACAAAACGTACAAATATTTAATAAAGAAAAAGACCTTGATAGTATCGTCGATATTTTTAACAACGCAAAGTCAACACCTGAAGAAATTGAAAAAGCTGGAGAAACGTTTATACTGAAACTATACAAACTTAATAAAGTCACCTGGAGTAACCAAAGATACACTTGTTAAAACTAAGATACGCTTGTTAACTAACTTATTGAAAGTTAGTTGGTCAAGCAAACAGCACGGTACTTTTATCAAAATGACCTCCCACATCTACTGCAGCTAGGCAACATTCCCGGAGAACATATCTTCAAGTACAAATATGGCAAGAACAACCTATAAAACCCGACCAGTGGGGCTGGAAGAAAATCAACAACACCCTGTCACATTTATATACAACAGAATCGCCCGCTCCGGCATCAATTATGTCATTAATACCGTGCAACTGCAAACAAGATTGTGTAAAAAGATGCAGTTGCATTAATGCCGGCATGAAATGTACAATTATGTGCGGAACCTGTCGTGGGCAAAGTTGTTCGAATACTGAGCACATTCTAGAAACTATAGGCGATGACAATATATAGATGAAAGTATGAATGTTAGTTTAGTGGAATAGGCAATGTTTTTGTTTATATTATACAGTATTATATCTGTTGCGTGTATATTTAGCACGTTAAAATACATTGGGAGACTATAATTTGAAAGGCGACCTGTATTTTTTTTTGTATTCCATTTTTCAAAAGGTTATTGCTCGAAATGCATTGGATAAATATAAATAATGAATAAGACCTTTTTTGTAGCAAATTTTATAAAAAATATATTTTGTAAGTATAGAATTTTTTGTGGGACCAACGGATTCTGAGAAAAAAGCGAAAAACCATCGAAGGGCGTATCGGGGTTGGTTTTTTGGGGTGAAGCTCACACTTTAGAGTTAAGAACTCTTTTGATTTTGAAAAGAGTCCTTTTGGTGCGTCTAATCTTAATATATCAAAACTTTATAAATTTTTTTTTCTATTCGGCTATTTTAGGTCTAATATAAATATACTATATCGAAAGTATCGGTACCGGTATCTGAAAGGTAGTATCGGCACAGCCCTAGTTTTAACATTATTAAATTTTCAAATTCAGTTTAAAATCTTGAAAATGAATTTCACATCTTATATCTGTATTATAACAACGATTTTTGATTTTTGAACTTGATTGTAATAAAAGGTGAATGATGGTTCTTAAAATGTATTATGATTATTTATATTTTTTTAACTTTTACATTAATTTATTAATTCAACTTTCTGCTTGTAGAAAGTCCATACCGCCAACAAACCTTATTCCTTCCAATTGTGAGTCTGAGACAATGTGAGAAAATTTATGGTAAAACATTACCGGTATCTGAAGAGCAGGTGTGTGCAGGCGGTGATCGAGGTCAAGATGCTTGTAGTGGATTTGGGGGTGCACCACTTCTTGTTAAACATAGCTCAACATATTATCAGGTAAAATATCTATAGCAAATAAGTACTAACAATATTATTCAGTGTTGGAAAATATGTGCATAACTTTTTGGAAGCCAATAGGACAAAATCTACAAAAACTAAGCTAGGGTAAGAACCTTAATTCGGGTTTTCAAGTTTTCCCCATAGAAGTTTTTATGTTCTTTTAGTGTCGTTTTTCCAAACTTATCACATGTATATAACTGACACAGGAAAATACAGAAATAACTTTGAAAGAATGCTTTCAAAAAACTTTTCTATATTTGTTTGAACAACTAGCACTGTTTTTAAATAAATAAATATAAATAAATATATAAATGCCTTTATTGTCAAAAAATTTTACTATTTGTAGACAAAGGTAAAGTAAACAAACAAGGTACATAAACAAACAAATAAAAGATAATACAAAACATTATACAAATAATATTGTCAGTTTTGTTTAAAATAAACATTTATAAATGTTTACAATGTCAAAGAATAAAAAAAAAATAAAAATAATATTCAAAAATATTTAGTTAGTTTATAGTAAATATCAATGACCTCTAAATAAATTTATTTCTGTGTCATTGGTAAATATAGCAATAGCAAACATTAGACCAGTGTTTACAAGATCCAATTTGATTATCAAAATATAATTCATTTACGGCGTAGAAAGCCTTGTCTAGTAAATAAGAGTTCAATGCTTTGCGAAATGAAGAAAATGATGTTATGGATTTGATTTCAAATGGCAGGTGATTGTACATTTTTATGAGTTGTATAATATTGAACTTTTAACTAACTCTGAGCGTGGGGTAGGTAGATAAAGATCTTGCTCCGCGTTCCTGAGTGGATAAGTGTGAGATGGCATTTCTTGAGAAGCTGAATCATGCTTTCGTATTAGGCAAACGGATTCAAATATAAATAAGGAAGGATATATTTTTGATTTTTTAACAAACTCATTGCCAGGACAATGAGTTCTGCTGTTTAGTCCCAGTGAATATCGAACAGCTCTCTTCTGGAGCTTGAAAATGCGGTCAAATTGAGCCGCACAACACGTACCCCAGAATGGAAGGGCATACCTGAGGTGCGACTCAAAAAGTGCATAATAAACAGTTCTAGCCACTGACAAGTAAAGCTTCTTAGAAACAGATCTTAATGCAAAACAGGTAGAGCTCAATTTTTTCGACAAAGCTTCGATATGCATGTCCCATTTCAGAGAATTGTCTACAACAAGCCCTAAGAATTTTACAGATTTTACGACGTCAATGGTGGTGTAGTTAAATTAAGATTCTGCCCAAAAAATATACCAGGATTATGTTTTTGATTTGACTATACGTAGTAGAGATGAACAGGAAATTGCAAACTACGATTCAATCGCAATCGCAACCTGGGATTGACTCATAGGAAACTGCGATTGCGATTTCTTCTATTTGTGAGTTTCAATTTAGGCAACCAGTATTACTATAGCTGCGATATGCGACTTTGTGGCGATTTGCGATCTTGTTGAGATTTTGATGCGATTGTGAATTTGTAAACTGCGAGTTTGAATTTTTAAGAGTTGCGATTTGCGATATTGTTGCTAATGTAATTTTGTGGTCTATTGAAGCATTTTTTAGTAAACCATGATTGAATTTTCTCTCTAATATTATTTATTTATAGAGAAGGTATTATTTTCTAGGGCCACGATCAATAAAATACCGGGTGTTCCTCAATAGTGGTTCACCCTTATAACTTTTTTTTATTTTTTTTTCTGATAAAAGAAAACGAGATTTGGTATGTTAGTATATGATAGTATATGACATAAATTAGGATTGATTGACGTATTCAATTGTTTTAGTTACTTCCTGTTTCACCGGAAATGACTACAACTTTTGATTTTTAAATAACACCCTCCATATTTTCTTACTTCATTCGATAGAAAATGACACTCTGAATATACCTATTGGCATATGATATGGCAACTTTTGACATTTTCACTTAAAAATTGTATTTTAAATTTCAATCTAGAATGTCATGGCTGTGTTAAAAATACTAATTTTTAATCAAGATGCCTGGGAAAAATAGATTCGATCGCCTATTGTTTTTCGCGTCTTGTCCTGGCTAGTTAAAAGATGCCCAAAATGGTATTTTTAATCATATCTCAAATTTTTAAAATGGAGCGAAGGTGGCTCATTGACATATTTAGAAATAGAATTTTTTACGAATAATTTGGTTTTGTAAATATTAAAATTGCAATCGCAGGTTACAGTTGCTGTGATTTAAAAGTCGCTATCGCAGTTTCAATTGCGGTTGAATCGCAGTTTTGCTTATCTCTAATACGTAGAGAGTAGAAGAAAAGAGAGTCATCTAAGTGACTTTGTTTGAAAAACTTGTCACCTAAAATGGGATAATCGATGCTCAAAAATGGCCAGCGTAGCGCTTTAAGCAAGTGTTCGAACTGGCTTTAGCGGTTATAAACCAAGGAAAGTTCAAATCAGAGTGGTATCACGCGCCGGCCGCCTTCACAAATTCGATATGTATCTATCTTTTTTAATTATTTGCTGCTTTAACTTGGCGCTTTCTTTCAAATATAGACTTCTGCTATAACAGCTCCATCTTAATATACCCTCTTTGATTTTTCCACCATTTCTATACGCTAAGATAATTCTCGTTATCTCTATACTTCACAGATTTGACAAAGGAAAAAGCTACCTATTCTTCTCTACTGTTTTTCTTAATCTCATAGCAGCACCCTACAACTGATGGGATCAAATGAAATATAAGTTTAGGCGGGGAGAGTATTATTTCCATCTAAATTTATTTTATTTATCTATGATTTGCTTTTATAAACAGTTTTTGTTATGTTAAAAGTTGGGCACACAAAGTGTATCTACCTACACTAGTGAATACCGGTCTGGTAATCGAAACTGCGTGGTTTAGATTTTAATATGTAAGTCAGTGATGTTGACTGCTTGATGGAAAATCAAATGTACCTATTAAAAATGTTGCATCTTGAAAAATGTTGCATCTTGGGTTGGACTTTTATTTTTCACAATTAGTTACTTATTTTACTACAGCTATAACAGATTATACTTACCTTATATTATATATTATCTTCATTTCAGTAGTATACGTGAAAATAGTTTATTTTTTTCTACACACATTTTCTTACAAACTTAAAAATCGGCAACACTGTATGCTGCTTTTTATTTTATCTTTCTGTCTGATAATCGGTCATTTATGTTTATCTCTGTCGTATGTATTAAAATACAGACCATGCAGATGAAGTGACCAGAGGTGTATAGTACTGTCAAAGTTTATAGAATACTAGTACTATAATGAGCAAACCTACAGACTTGGATGCTTGGATGTATTGGTGATTTTGACCACTAAAATTTTATTTAAAATCTTTTTAAATTTTTTTTTATGTGATAAATTTATAATGGTTGAAAACTGCAACAAAATTTAAATTACTTCCAAGAAAATTCTGCCATTGGGGATCTCAATTTTATTATTTATTTTTTGTTATTTTTAGGTTGGCATCCTTTCCTTTGGTTCAGACCAATGTGGAGCAGCAGGTGTTCCCAGCGTCTATACTAACATCAAAAAATATATTACTTGGATCAGAGAAAACTCTCCGCAAATTATATAATTTTTAGTATATTTTCTACTTAGTCAACTTTGTAAATTTTATTTCTAAATTTAATTTTACACCTAATTGTGTTTTATATTTTTATATGATTTATTTATACGAGATCCAAAAAAATCACATCTATAGATACTACATATTTTCTGTGATTTATAAAATATAGTATTATTGGTATTATATAAATTAAGTTTTTATTAATTTGTAATTTTTTTTTGTTCACAAAATTTGTTCTGCAAATTCTAAGACTACAGTAAATAATAAAATAAAACTACAGCATATTTTAGTTAATAATTTATTTTTATTCGTGAACCTATTAATGAATAAATTTGATCTTTGTAAAATTTAACAAAGTAATCTAACAAAATTTATTATTTGAAGATGTCGTGTATAACATTAGGAGAACGCTACTTAATGTTTTTAACTTTTAACTATATCCTAAAATGAAGGAAATAAAGTGTACCCAAGATTAGTTGCTACAAGAAAGTCTAGTGAGTTAAACTTCAGTGTCCTTGAATGTAGAAAAATATGCACATATAAGATAAACCAAGTATTAATAAATAATTTATCAAAGGCAGTATCGACATGTTCCTAAAAATATATCGTCAATATTCCGATTGTTAAGTAATCAAACTTTCTACTTATTACTTAAGTAGTATTTGACTAGTATATCCCAGGTATGAACAACATGGAATGACTTAGAAGAGCTAATATAGTATTTTTCGCATTCGTCTTTTTGAATAAATAACATATTATTTTATATGTTACAGTGGATAGTTTTTTATAGGTTTTAGATGATGTTAATGTTACACTGAAGTTAACTACATAACTGGTATTTGTTCAAAGGGGTACAGCTTTTACAGGCTACAAACTTGAAATACAAAATATGTGAAAGTTTACTAGCAGTAATTTTCACAGAAACCAAAGAATATACCTAAGTTTTGAAGTCTATATACCTATACCGCTAATGTGATTAACTCTATCTTTAAATAGGATAGATATAGACTTTTATAGTTGGCAGAATTGGCAACATCAATAGGTAGATCTACAATCTACTGCTATAGGAATATTATACCATGTAGTTCTCAATAGTGCCCCACCCCTATAACTTTTTTATTATCTCAGTTGGTATATGGTATAATATAGTATATTGGTATATGAAATAAATCGGGGTCAATGAAGTATTCGATTGAAGTTTTGGATGAATTGATGCTATCGCTGTATCAACACATTAGTTTCAAGGAGCACATTTGATCAAAAAGCCTTGGAAAGATAGATGTGATCGTCTAATATTTTTCATGCCTTTTTCTGGCAGGTTAAAACATGACCAAATCGTATTTTTAATTATAACTCAATTTTTTCAAAAGGAACAAAAGTAGCTCATTAGCATATTTGGAAAAAGCATTTCTTTACGAATAATTTGATACTAATATGTGATATTTCGAGTCCAATTATTATATTATTGTCATGACATTCTAGAATGAAATTTAAAATAAAATTATTTTAGAAAAAACTGTCAAAAGAACTGACTTGTGATATGTCATTCTATTCAGAATATAATTTTCTATCAAATAAAGTAAAAATAAATGAGAAAAAAAGCAAAAGTTGTAGTCATTTCCAGTAAAACAGAAAGTGACTGAAATTAATCGAAAACGTCATTCAGTCCTTATTTATGTCTTATAGTAACATGCCAAATCTCGTTTTATTATCTGAAAAAAGATTCATGCTATTATAGGGGTGAGTTGCTTCTAAAAACACCTTGTATAAAGTATGTTCAAAGTTTAGGTATATCAATATAGCGATTCTAATTGTATTAATATAAATTTTAAACATACATAGATTGCATGTGTAGGGTTTGGCACCAATAAGAAAATTAGAAACTCGTTTTTCATTTTTATATATTTTCAAGAAAATTTAGTATATTGAATTTAAAAAAGTTTAATTTATTTAATACTGGATTATTAAATATTAATGTAATAGTTTTGAATAACCCAATAAATCAAACAGTAAGTTATGATATAGGTTTATATAGATTAAACTGTCAAAAAATATCAAAGAAAGCTACAAATCTTTAGTTTAAATGTTGTTATTTACTGCTAGTAAAACTAACTTAAATATTTGAAAGAAAAAAATTATATAATATAGAATGTTTCTCAATTACACTATTTGATTTCATCAGAAACGGAATTAGAATCTGCATCATTTAACAAAGATAATACAAGAAATAATTTTACATCTATCTCACTATGCTTCTCTCACTCACTCTTAGAGTCAATCAGGTATCAGAGTAACTCATCTTTATCACGTAATACTTTTGTAAAGTGAAGTACAACATGATCAAAAAGATTTATGATCGAGCGTGCCTTGTACGATAACAGTTAAAGAATTCTTATGGCAAATTACCTTAGATTTTTTAACTATCAAAGTATTTTTCCAGTTTCTCATAAATTTTTTGATACATTGGTATTCACAGAATATTTTGAGAATATACTTCAAAGGTATCATTGACATTAAGGCCCGGTTGTAAAAACAGATTAAACTCAAGTTTAAGTGAATTCTGAAAAATGCTCAACTGGGCAATTCTATTTAGGTATAATTTTCTTGTAGTATAATCTTATAAGATGATTAAAAACCAAGTTTAAGCCTGAAAAATAGCTCACTCAATTTCAATCTTGAAATAACTATAAATAATACCAAACAAAATTTTAGTCATGTAGGTAATTAAGCTTGACCGGTACAGTGTTGCCCACTTTTACATATTTTCTTTTAATAAAAATATTTTAGGAAACAAAAATAAATGAATTATAAATATATAAAAACAGTCATTATTTACATCAACAAAATTCACCTCCTTAACAGCACTTTCCCATTCAAAATAATCTAATAAGACTGCGATGTGTTTTTTGCAAAGGCTATTAAGCTATCTTGTACACTTCGCATTAAAAGAGGTTCTAAAAAGAACAATGTTTTACTGAAAGGTATGCTACTAAAATGTTTAAGCTTAAATATCACAGCACAATTCATTTAAACTAAAAACTCTTAATCCAAAATAAAGTGTCAAAACGAATGACAATTTCAGGAAATAAATAAATAAATGTGACAACTTAACTTTTCTATAGCAGCATTCATTCATTACCACCTGAATCCCCAGCGGGATATTTAAATACCAGTTATTCAGCCTGGCGTCACATATATCCATGGTTGGCAACAATGAATTTAAAAATCGCGTCCTCGATTACGTAACTAAAAGTTTAATTGATATCGCTTATGTATAATATTTGAACTAAGTTTAAGGACAAGTCTTTGTACAACCTATTAAAATTTTAAATCGGTTTAAATCTGAACTCACTCTGAACCGAGTCTAAATGTACCTTCCTAGCCAGGCCTAAATGTACCTTCCTCTGAAAAAAATTAACTATACTTAAACATAGTAAGAAATAGACAATTAGTTTTAATAGAAGCAAAGTTATCGGAAAATAGATTTTGGTCCGCTAGAAAAATCAAGAGAAATCAATCTCAATCATATTATGCTTCCTATCATAGACCCCTTTAGTTATTCTGAAGGAATAGCTATATATTAAAAGATTTTTAAGCTGTCGGAAATGTCTTCTAACTTTATTAATTAAAAAGCATTTATTAATAATATGTTTTCTTTAAATTAATTAATTTTTGTTGTTAATTAATTCTCTCCTTAATTTTTCCTAACCTTGACATAGCTTAGGCCGAATTCCTCAAAAATTTTCAACTACTTTTAATAATGAAAACTAATACATACTATTTAATATTATGTATTATTTCTTGTACAATAATTATTTATATTCTAAGGATTTTTTTATTATAATCTAAACCTATTTGCAATAAAGGATTGGTCATTTTACACCTACATGCTAATATTCACAATGTTTTTCAACAATTTTTTAGTCAAACGCTTGTTGTCTAATATCTTAGAGCCCGGACATAAAGAAAGCTGGTTAATAAGCGCCTATTACCAGCGCCGAAAATCAGTGCCTACAAGTCGTTTCAATAGTACACAATGAACGTAAAAGGTAAGCCTCATTAATTAAATGCGCTTTTTATACACATCCACACACAGAAAAAACTTGTCGGCGCGCTCGTTGCCAGCGTAAATTGGCTTGTGTCTAGCCCTAGCAGGCAACTATTAAGCCCAACCAATCACGTTAGAGTTGTTGACAAACACAAATGAATTAACACACTTCAAATAACCAACCTGATTGGGCAAGCTTAAAAGTTGACTGCTAGGGCTAGACACTTCTGTAAATTGGTGGGGAATTTTTACCGGAACGAATTTTGTATCTTGGTCGCTTGTTGTCTATGCTGGGTGTGCGTATTGTGGTTTTCGGCGCTATCTCCAGTGCTGGTTTTCGGCTCTATCTCTAGCGCTGATTAACCAGCTTTCTTTGTGTATGTACCCATAACTTGCAATTATTTTTTATATTTAATCTGAAAGACGTGCTGAAATTTTTAAACTATTTTTTGTTAACTTAGATAAATGTCTTATTTGCAAAATCAATGCATAGCTTGAAAATAACAGCACTGCAAATATAGTTATAATTTATTTTTCTGGTTTAATAGGTAATTATTACAAAGGTACTTCGTGTTAAGGATAAAAGAAAATTGACACTCTAAATATTATATATTTGTATATAAATTTTCACGTTACTTAGTTTGGAAATATATCTTATTTATAAATAATACTTTAGTGTGTAACAGGCGAGCAACAACAATAATTATATTCTGATAATTTGTTTAGGGATAGGTTTTGTTTATGATAGTAGATTTTGTATTGGAAGGATTCAAATACAGAAAAGTCGATGATAAAATGAATGATTATCCATGAATGGGATACTTGATATACAAAACGAGGAAATTTCAACATGGGTAATCAATATTGTGAGTACCTAAATAATATAAATAGATAAATCTTAGTGTACAGGGTGGGCCAAATTGGACAAATTTAAAGGCAAACTTTCTAAAGGAGATATACTTTTTTTATGAAAACATTTTCAAATCACCTTTTTACATAGAATTTAACGGTTTAAGTATAATTTTTTTAAAATTAATAATTTAGGAGTTGTTGTCAACAAAAAAAATGATTTTTTATATGAGGCCTCTTATATTTTTAATTCTCTCTAAAAGAATTTAAAATAACCTTTCAAAAAATATACTTGCAGCATACTTGATATTTTGGTTGATTCCTTTACGAAATATGGAATTTTTTAAACTTTGACAAATAGGCTTTGGAGGGTGCCAGCCGTAAAGCAGAAAATAAATGATCACCGGTTAGATTTGGTTTGGAATGAAAAATACAGACTTTTATAACAATTTAAACTATATTAAACAACAACACATTTAAACTATATCTAACAATTATAATAAATAGCAAAACTGGACGAGAGATTTTGCTAGAACAGTTTTTCGAAATGTCAACCTCTTATGCACAGACGGGAAAGTTTCTGAACGTTGCTCACGGAACTTATTAACTCAGTAGGGGTAAAAGATACCCTTACATACCTGCTAAGTACTTATAATTATTGTCTCGAGTATACGGGAAATAAGATCATTTAGTCTTCTTCAGACGCGCAAGTCCAGCAGCCTCGCGGGCCAACAACTGGGACTTTGGTTAGCTATTCAATTATTCTCAAAATTGGTTGCAAAAAATGCTGATAATTTCAGCGTAGTGAGGTGGTGCCTCGTCTTGTTAAAAAAATATATTTCCGAGTTCCATTAGGGACCAAGCATTAATAAGGGATCCAAAGCCTACCTACTATCAGTTGAAAGTGGCGAAATTTTTAAAATTCTGTATTTCGAAGGGGATTCGAACAAACTATTAAGTGTGCTAGATATTAAGTATATTTTTAGAAATGTAATTTTATTGTTTTTTCGTTTAAAGTAAATAATAATATACAGGGTGTCCCATCTAAAAAAAAATAATTTTTCTGTCGATAAGTCTTAAATAATTATTTAAAAAAAATATCCTTAAACCATTCAATTCTACGTAAAAAGCTGATATGGAAATGTTTTTATAAAAACACAAAAATTTTCATAGCAAGAAAGTTACAGCGATTTGTTAAAAATGCACATTTTTGAAAAACACCCCGAAACTCTTAAACGTTAACAGATATCGACGTGCAGTTTTTATCCTCATATTTTTTATAAAAAAATGAGCTCCAGATACCGATATCAGTTTTCGTCTATCTCCTTTAGAAAAGGGTGTTGCCCTTTAAAAATGTCCAATATGACCCAGCCTGTACAAAATGAACGGACACAAAAGATACACAACAGAACAAATCTTAGTTTGCCACTGATTTATTAATAAATAAAAAAAATGCATAGGTATACTGGAAGATATACATTTCATAAAAAATAATGTATGAATTATTTTATGTGTGAATGTCCGGCATGGCAGATATTTTATATTGCTATATTTAATATTATTACAGCATTATTTAGAATTCTGGAAATTAGTTGTTAATCATTTTTTTCATTCCAATTTTCTATATTAAACAATGCCAACTCTAGTTAGCGCATTTGAATTAAATGACAGAAAATAAAATGACGTACAGCTCAACAAAAGTTTCCGCACACAGTTTTTTTAAACATTTATTTTTAAATTAATTATAAACATTACAGATTTTATTTGTGTTTTTGTAGATACTTTTTAAGGCAAAATAAATCACTATTTCACCAAAATACACCAAAGTACTCTTAACACTGGACGCGTGTCTAAATATGTTAGCATCATTAGCAGATTACAGTTCGGGTTTGAACCTTTAGTTTTACAGCAGCAAAATAAAACACTAAATTACCACAATACACCAAAACACTTTTACTTTTAAACTGGACGCGCGTTTCGCTAACAGCATCATCAGCAGATGATTAAAACTAAACTAAGAACATTGTATAGATATTAATAATTCAAAATTAGTTAAACAAGTCTTAAATTACAGGCAATTAGATGCATATGAGAGCGTCAAAATTAGTGATGGGATAACTCGAGCGAAAATTCGCTCGAGTACTCCATTATTGAAATAACCGACATCGCTCGATTATGAACGAGCGATGCAAGTGACGAGTACCAAGCGATTCTAGAATGAAATAAATTGAAATTCGATTTTAATGTGGTATTCTCGATAAAAAGCCGAGCGAATTTTCTACATACATTGCAGGTAGCAAATTTATACGACGCCGTATATACCGGGTGCGTCTCAAAAGTGGCTCACCCCTATAACTTTTTAATTTTTTTAGATAAAAAATGAGATTTGGTATGCTAGTATATGACATAAATTAGGATTTATTGACGTATTCAACTGTTTTCTGTCACTTCCTGTTTCACCGGAAATGACTACAATTTTTGATTTTTAAATGGCACCCTCGGTATTTTTTTTACTTTATTCAATAGAAAATGACATTCTAAATAGAATGACGTATCATATGTCAACTCTTGACATATTGATATATAGAGTGCCGTGCCTCAAGGAGCCTTGGAAAAATAGACTTGATCGTCTAATGTTCTTAGTGTCTTGCCCTGGAGGGTTTAAAAGATGCCCAAATCGTATTTTTGATCATATCTCATTTTTTTTCAAATGGAACGAGGATGGCTCATTAGCATATTTCGAAAAATATTTTTTTTACGAATAATTTGATACCACACACTTGGTACTTCGAGTCAAATTGTCGTTATGAACCGCATGTTATAATTTCAAATAAACCATATGCGAAAATGTCAACAGTTGACATGTAATATATCATTCTATTCAGAGTGTCATTTTCTATCGAATAAAGTAAAAAAATACCGAGGATGCCATTTAAAAATCCAAAGTTGTAATCATTTCCGGTGAAACCGGAAGTGACCGAAAACAATTGAATATGTCAATCAATCTTAATTTATGTCATATACTAACATACCAAATCTCGTTGTTTTATCTGAAAAAAAAAATAAAAAAAGTTATAGGGGTGAGCCACTTTTGAGACGCACCCGGTATATTTATCCGTTGCGTATCTGAGGAACAAAATTTTCCGACCTACATCGGCAATGCTTCGAAGTAAATTAAATCAAGCGATCAAGCGAATCGCACGCCGCTTACTACTTGCCGTACATTACCGAAAGTATATGTGCCCTGCGCACGCAACTTACTGCTTGGCGCTTGGCGTTAACGAGTATTTACAACATGCGACGGGTGAAAACCGTATTTTTAAATACGAGTCATATTTCGCTCGAGTGATCACTCAGTTATTGCTATCGCTTGATGCTCGAGTACTCGATTATTAAAATTAATCGGTTTTTCCCATCAATAGTCAAAATTACTAATTGTAAAGATAGTATGCACAGAGACAATGGCTCAATTCCTTCCAATTCTCTGTTCCTAGTTCCTACTATTTAGTGTTTTTTACGCTCGGTTGGTTTTGTCTCGCTTGGCTATTTTTTGCAACGCCCTCCCAGAACCATCTGAGCGAGTATATAAACGGTCAATTTGTAGATATTAGTTTAGTTTTAATCACGATATACTCACAAGTTTTAATCATCTGCTGATGATGCTAACATGGTTAGCGAAACGCGCCTCCAGTGTGAAAGTAAAAGTGTTTTGGTGTATTGTGATAATTTAATGTTTTATTTTGCTGATCATTAGCAGATGATTAACTTTTTAATTTAATTCATCTGCTGATGATTTTTAGCAAAACGCGCATTCACTGTTAAAGTGTTTTGGGATATTGTGGTAAATTAGTGTTTTATTTTGCTGTAATCGTCCATTTTATTTCCTATTATTTATACCTATTATTAGTGTCATGTTTTTGAGAGTAGGTCTTGATATTATTTTCTTATAAGGAACACCAGTCGAATGATTGTGTTAAGCCAGTAATCTGTTTTCATCTTAGCACTATATCGTTTTTTTCCACAAAAACATTTATTGCATCGAATATTCGCAAACATCAAACATTTATTTTTTTCAAAATTTGGCACTTGAATCACTAACGCTCTCTAGTGGTATCTATTAGAGAACGTTGACAACAAGAAGCAAATATAAGTTTTGTTTCATGACACTCAGTATACACAAATGTACAATAATTGCTTTTTAAAAACAATAGGCATGTATAAATTCAATGTTTTTTTATGTTAAACACTTATTCGCACTTCAAATTCCAATCCTTGCATTATGGTGGCCTTAGAATAAATAAATAAATTCAAAAGAAGTAGATTCTATTAGAAATGACTTTTACGAGATAGTTATTAGTAACTAAGGGTGCAATGCAGTTGAGATTTAACTATTTTCATAAAATCCTATTATATTACTATTAAAAAAATGTTAATTTAAATAATTCTTGCCTAAAAAATCTTATACAATATGATCAACAAAAATAACGGCGTCAGCGATGGCTCTGAAATGAAGAGCGCTGTCACTTTATATGTAAAATTATATGAAGTCATTTCCAAGCCAACTGGACGCCGTTATTTTTTCCCGATAGTACTTATTTCAGGCTCATACTTCAACAATATTGTTGAAGATATGCCAATAAAAACCAATAGAACCTACTGAAGTGGTGGCCATTTTTTTATGATACAAGTTTACCACACATCATGTTACATAAAGTCATAAATTGTATATTACTCTTCATCGGCGTCATCTCGTAGTCCAGCCTTAAACTGTGGTGGAACTTGTTTCATGAAACAGTCGTCCAAAAATTGCCCCATGCTTCTATAAAGATGTTTTTTGACTCCTCCTAGACCGTGACTCTCATCAGGATATATCTAAGAAAAAGGTGTAAAATATAAAAAGACCCTTTTTTCAAATGTGTCATATATTAAAACGGGACAAGTTCATTTGGAAAGAATTTGTAGGAAACAAATAAAAGAAAAAATGTATTTAGATTGATCAGCATGTAAGCCGCCGCATCTGGATTATTTTCAGGGTGGCGCATCTGCGACTTGTGCTTACTTAGAGCTCAAACTCACTGAAAACCAGGCCGCAGCGACCAGCTAACGACCAGATCGCTGCGACAAGTAATACCATTAAATTAAATGATACAACGCGCACTAACGATCATGACCAAGCGGTCGTCGCAGCGACCAAGCTGCGACCAGTAGTACCATTAAATCAAATGGTACAATGCGCACTACCGTCCTGGCCGTTGGCTGGTCGCTGCAACCTGATTGTCAGTGCGTTTGAGCTCTTACATTTCACCAGAAATGATTAAGAGAGGGCACTAAATTCCTCAACATTTTTCGAGACACAATTGGAGGGCACAAGAGAGCCCTTGAATTTATATTTAAAAAAAATGGTACACTACTGTCTTCTTTTAAGGTTCATTCAGAACTTCGCAATTAGTCTAATAAATTAGTGGTTTCAATTAGCGTTTGATCCTTTAATTTCAATGTAAGCATTCAGAACGTTAAAATTAGTGGTAGACATTTTCAATTAGTAAAAAAAAGTTATCAAACTTTTAACTTTTCCACTAATTATACTTCAAAATTTGCTAGAAATGTCATTTTGGCCTTTGATTATCTTCCGTCAAGAGAAATTGTGGTTAGAAATCAAAAGTTGATTGTTTTATAAGCGAAATATTAGGCTTTCTCTATAGATACAACTGCCTAACGCAAGCTTTTGCTAGGATATTCTATTCACTTTAATTGTGAATCATCGTAAACAGATTGACATTGTGAATGATTGTAAACTAAAAACTATAAAGTGTAATTGAAGCCACTAATTTATTCCACTAATTGCGAGGTTCTGAATTAAGCTTTACACTTTATACTTTTTTGTTATCATTCAAAATGTCTAACAAACATAATTAAAATTAATAGAATATCCTAGCAACAGCTTGTGTTAGTCAGTTGTATCCACAAAGAAACCTAATATTTAGCTTATAAAACAATAAACTTTTGATTTCTAACTTTCTTCTCTTAACGTATGATAATCAAAGGCCAAAATGACATTCCTCGAATATTTTGAAGTAATAATTAGTGGGAAAGTTAAAAGTTTGTTAAATTTTTCTACTAATTGAAAATTACTACTACTATTTTTTTTCTGAATGGTTACATTGAAATTAGAGGAACAAACTTCTACGCTAATTAGAACCACTAATTTATTCTACTAATTGCGAGGTTCTGAATCAAAATCTTCATTCATTTGTAAACAATTTTTTCCTTTTGATTTTGTGTCGTCCGACGCATGGTTTTTGCTTAAAAAAAATAAATTCATTTTACTTAAGGGTCAAACCGCTATGCGCTAAAAATCTGATGCGGTGACCGTTGTGTGGTAAACATTTCTGCATCGGCTGGAAGGAAATTAAGAGATATAACAATAATTTTCTGTACATCAAAAAATGCATTATGATGCATAGAAGACGTATCAAATTTCATAAAAAAAGATATTTTATTCTGTTATTATTAACATTTGTTTTTTATAAAAAAAAAAATGGAAAATTTCAAAGAATAGGTCAAGAAATGACCTCCTTAAATATCAGCCTGTCATTAAGGAACGTCGTCCTGCATATATAGGACATGTTTTCAATTTATTTTTCTATATCTCTTAACTACGTGCAACGACGATACGGGAAAGAGAGATTTGCACAAACCTGTTGTCGAAACAACGTGTCAGCATCTGACAGTGCCCTAACCAGAGCCATACTTTGCTGAAGATGCACGTTGTCATCCGCCGACCCATGGACCAGATAGAACATTTTATCTTTCAGCTGTCCCGCTTTTTTGCTTACATCCGCTTCGTCGTATCCCTTGTAATTTTCAGTCACATTCGGCAAACCCATGTAGCGCTCCGTATATGCTGAATCTGAAATTAAATTGATGTGGTACCATACGATTGAAAATAAAAACGGGGTCAAAGATGGCTGGGGAATGACAATCGATTATAATTCTGGCAAGGACAAGCCCTAGACCTTATTTACTTGGCCCGTAATATTATTTATTTTTTAATGGCGCTTACAGCAAGTTCATCTTAGAAAGGTTGTAATATCTTTTTATATTAAGTAAAAATGACTTTTAAATGGTGTAGTTTAAAACTCGAGAAAAAATAATTTTTTGGAAATAGATTTGTTTGTTTGGAAATGTTCTGTTCTTTTTTGTTTCTATAATTCGTATCAATTTTTGACAAGTATTATGTCAATTTCTAGTAAATGGCGTCCAGGGATATTGACCTTGTCAAAATTATCATCGATCGTCATTCCCCAGCTGTCCTTGATGCGGATTTTTTTCAGAATGCGGTATTCATTTTAATCTGTTTCTAATCCTCTACTATACAATTATTGGTCTACTATGTGATTATTGTACGTGCCCTTAAAATAAATATAGAAAAGATACAGTACATCTGGTTTAAAATATATACATTACCGCCAGGGATAGAGAAGCCATGGAATGTGATATTGCAAACATCCATTACTGAATTTGCATAAGAAGAAGATATACATGAAAAACCGTGCAGGTTTGTTTATCGCAGTACATTAACAAATAACTTTAATTCTATAAACTTTGACACACCCCATTGATTATAGTGATGAGCGAGATGTCTTGCAATCTTTCTTGTCTTGCTTGTCTTTCTTGTCTTGCTACCAATGGCATGTTGATGTCGGTCTTGCTCATACTCGTCGCTAATTGATTATAGTGCTGGTATACACGAAGTGTTAGGTACTAAAGTTTTTTTATTAAAGACATTTTGACATTTTAGAAATAAAAAATTTATGTACCAAATAAAAAATAGTTTAATCATAAATAAGTAAGTAAATAGTTGGGAATACTATAATATAATATTTTTAGTAACAGTTAATTAGTAGTCCATAATGTACCGTATGATTGAATAAAAACGGCGTCAGCGATGCCTACGAAATGACGATTGATGACCGCCGTTTTTATTCGATCATACGGTATTTTTACTATATTATCATTTATTTGTTAAATAAAAAAATATGGCTCTATTGTTGGTGTTTAAAATGTTAAAACGTGTTGGTATTTTAAAACGTATATTTATAGTTTACAAGGAATAATTTTGCGCTTGAATAACGTTACCGTTTTAGTTAGGTAGTGTTAATACGTAACAGAGGTTAATTTTCAGAGGTGCGGTTTCACGCACCATCATAGCCAGTTGGATCGCCAACCTCCGAAGGGAGGCGGCGACCTAAGAAGAAGAATAAGGAACGAAACACTACAACTAATATGTTATGCCAAAACTCTCCATTAGTTTCTTCCGGATCACCAGATGGCTCTAAACGCCGGACCTATTATTTTTATATCAGTGTCCAATCTATTTCTAGTACATGACATTAGTCTATGTTACTACCTTTCTCCTAAAAGGCAAGTCTATCCAGCGATAGAGAACAGACGATTTTTAAAAATTGAAAAAATACAGGCAATTTTGAATTAAAATGGCAGGCATCAATTAGCACTGTCATATTTACGCTAGTTTTACATCCTGTACTTACCAAACTTAATACGTAAAACAGATTTATTTGTTTCTTGAAAAATTTGTGGGTATTTCGCCACTGAAACATCATATTTATGACCATATTGGTTGGAACTATGGTTGTTCATAATTGATTCTGAGCGAGTACAGATTTAAACCAAGTGTAAAATTTTAATAGGTTGTTCAATAACTTCTTACCAAAATTATTTATTTTTCTCTGTGGTTATACATTGAATACCCAATTATTAATAAGGTAATACTCACCGTACAATTTCCAATTGGTAACTGGCGCAACTGCAATGGCACATTGAAATACGCTTTTCGGGCTCGCCAACGCCAGCGAGGCGACAAATCCACCATAACTCCAACCCCAAACTGCCACTCTTCGTCTATCTATAAAATGTTGAGTATCTCGTAAGTACCTAAAAAATAGAAAGTTTTTTTTTATAAAAAGTTCTACTGTAATGTCGGTAAAGGTTTAGTCAAATATACTGGACGTTTTTTAAAAGTGGATCTCGCCTATAACTATTTTATTTTTCAGACGAAAAGTGAGATTTAGTATATGACCTAAATCAAGATTGATTGCCGTATTCAATTATTTTCGGTCACTTCCTCTTTCATAGGAACTTTTGATTTCTAAATGGTAACCTCGGTATTTTTTACTTGATAGAAAATGACACATCCTTTCTTTTCCGTGCCTGTATAAAACTACTAAGTTAGAAAATATACATGTACGACGTTTTTTACGTAAAAAAGGTCTCTTGGTAAAAATCACTACGATAGTTATCGAGATATTTGGAATGTAAATTATTAATACCTGTCATCATTGACATAAATTAAACTACTTCACTAAATATGTTCACAAAAAAAATAATAAATTTGAAATGTTTTTGTGCCAAAAATTCAACAAAAACTGTTTTACCATAATTTTTTTGAAGAAAAATTTATGATTAATTTAAAAAAAATAAAAAGTTTCCAAATTTATAATTTCATTCAAATAACTATCTACTCAACGTGTTTATTTTTTGTCAATAATGACATGTAATGACTATTACTATTTTAAATATCTTGAGAACGGGTGCTCGTAGTGATTTTTACCTAGAGACATTTTTTATGTAAAAAATCATGGAAATGTATATTTTTTCACTCAGTAGTTTTATACAGGTACAGACGAGAGAGAGAGAGAGAGAGAAAAGTTACTATTCTTCAAAACAGTTAAAACACATGTAGGTGGCGCCCCCTACAAATAGGAGTCATATTGACATTAAAATCAAATTTTTCATGTCAAAAAACTCTCATACTCCATTTTTATCAGTAATAACGTTACTTCAGAAATTATGTGGATAAAATCTATATAAAATTGAAACTTGTACGCCCTGTATCTCCGAAACTAAGCATTTTACCACATACATTTATACAAACTATTTTACTTATTTTTATCAACAGAGCAAGCTGCCGAAGTTTCCGAAATACACTTCGAACCACCCTGCATGTAGAGTAGGAAGACCATTTAAAACCAAAAGTTGTAGCTATTTCCGGTAAAACAGGAAGTGACCAAAACTAACTGCATACGTAAATCAGTCTTAGTTTATGCCATACTAACTAACATACGTTATTTTATCTGAAAAAATAAAAAGTTATAGGGCTGAGCTACTTTTGAAAAAACACCCGTTATAGTGTTATTCAAAATATTAATATTTCTAGAAAACTGATTCATCATTATTGAGAAAATTCTTCCGCAAATACGCCATATTAATACAAAATAAAAATACCGGTTATTTATTCTTTTTCTGTTTTATTATAAGAAAATTTGTTTACTCTCAACTTTATCTGGACATTTTAATGAGTACCCTATTACAAGACTAAAACTTTTCTAATTTATATAACATGGCAGAACTTGAAACTTCACTTCACGTCATTAATGGTATACTCGTACAACACAACTCAAGACTCGAGAAATGTGGAAAGATTTTATTAATAACGTTCCTTAAAACGTCCTTAAAAGTTTATTGCTGAGTATCAAGGTTGAGTGAAACTTCCTTCCAAAAGCAGTGCTTAAACGAAGTTCTTCCAGTCGTTAATGAATCATTACTTTGCAGACACTTTAATTGTCAGTTTTTTATAGTTACAGCATAATATTGTGGAATATTTAGAATTAATGAAATGTCTGATTAATTTAAGATTTATTTAACTTGCACTCTAATTCGAAACTATAAGTAAAAAATGTAGGATATCATTAGCTGAATTTGCATTAGAAGGTTTTAAAGAACTAAAATTTCGATATTTGGGGCATTTTCCACATCGCTGTTTCTTAATGAGATCGCGAAATTAAAAATACTTTCAGTACAGCGGACAATCCAATCATTCATGGATACCCGGAAGATAGCAACTATCATATTGTAAATATTATACTCTCGTTCATACTTAATATTTCTTTAAAATATAACGAATTATGATATCTCCCTCTTTCTGTCTTTACATTCCTCTTGTAGGAAAGAGGAATATAGTGGTCAAGTGATGTGTGTAATTTGTCTCCATAATTCTCTGTGTTGTGCTTCATGTACCAGCGCATGCAGTGACTTGTGGTTGAGCTTTGATAGCTGGTCTATCCATCGGGAGGGCAAGCGGCCTCTTGATCTTTTTCCTGGACTTTTGCTCTGTATAATGAGCCTTTCCATACAATCAGTATTCCTCCTCCTAACGTGACCGAAAGTGGCCGATTTAAGTATACGTGACTGTATAGAAGTTGAGAAACGTTCTATGATGTTCAGATCTTGGATTATGGAGTCATTGATTTGTCGGGCAGTCCAGGGAGTTCTGAGTATTCCTCGCCAGCAGTACAACTCAGTTGCATAATTTTTTTCATTTCTGACTGCCACATCGTTCAGGAATCGGAGCCATACATTATTATAGGGAATGCTAGGCAGTGAACAAGCCTCTTTTTAAGTGTTTTGATATACTCTTGTCTTTATTTTTAAATACAACAGCCTGTATATTCAATATTCAGATACTGAACTATTATATTTAAGAATTTTATTATTTTTGTTAGCAAAGACCATCTTTTATTTTTTTATTGTTTAGTTTTGCTTTTAATTTGTTAAAGTGCTATAACAAAAACATTTTTTGATGTTATTGCTTAAATTGTGTGAAAGATTTTTTTAGTTTGTTCCGTTATAAATTTAACCTTTCGGAGGTCGCGCTTTATTTGTTGTAGAGAATGTAGAATGTGTAAGAGGGGGGTTAATCACTGCGACCTTAAAGATCTATTGTGCCCACCTTCCTTGAGTCATCACACAATCTATAACCCATCACACCCCCGTTGTAGAGGGGACAGGGTATTTCCCATCCTCCTCTGACAACAGTTCTTCCTCCAAGGGTACACACTCTTCCACGGTTGGAGTTTGGCCCTCCGAATATGGTCCTTTTTGCCACTCTTCACAGTCGAGGAGCTTGCCTTCGGCTGAGGAATTCATGGTGGAGGCTGGAGGATCTGTCTCCATTTTCTCCACCTTTTTAACTTGGTCTCTCCTTAGACCTGATACCGGTGTTGTCCCGTATCTATAACAGAAAATATGTCCCTCTTTCTCTATTGCCTCCTTGGATTTGAGGTCAATTCCTATTGTGAGGACCTGACCTGAGGAGGGTCATGTCCTCCATCGAGTTGATGACTCGCCAACTCGATGTCCTTACATTGAAGTTCTGACCTTGGATAAGGCTTATCAGGTAGGTGGTGTCTTTTCCCTTGCTCCTCGGCAGAAAGACCGTTATGGCCGCTCCTTTAGGGATGTTTTCTCGCTTCACTGCAACCAGTTCCGGCCCTTTCCAATTTTTAAGCTTAGGTGCGATTTCCACCAACCAATTGGCCGATTCTTGAGATACACAATCTATGAGGATCATGCCCACCCGAAAGTGTATCCCCGCAAAACGCAGCTGACCCACATTTTGTAGATCGTTGTGTGGCGATCCGATCGCCACTACTTCGTCCAGTATGGCCTCTTCTAGAGACGTTTGCTGGTCAGTGGTCAGAGCAACCTCTGGGAAATCCTCTGGCAGCACCACTATTTTCATATTCCAGCAATAGCGGCAAAGCTGATGATACGCCCCTGCTTGCCTCCCGGTGTTGGACGGCTTTTCATCCTGGCTTTTTTCTCTTCCTGCCGGAGAAGAGGTGATAGGTTCTCGCTCCCTCTTTTGCCCTTTGATGGAGATGAGTTAGGTTGTTTCTTGGTTTTCTGGATTTTTATTTTTTAGATTTTTATTTCTGGAGCAAGTTATTCGTGGAGCAGTCGGAGGTATCTCCGTGCTTCTGCTCCGCTAAGACCTACTCTCAGAGGATCGTCTAGCATACCTGGTTGACCCAAGCCGGGTAGACGAAACGGTAGCTTTGTCGCTTATTGGGTCTAGAGGTAGGTTCCCGACCCTTGCTGGAGAAGGCGGTAGCTTGTGTGCCACTTGTGGAGGATGATCCCAAGCAAATGTCAGCCGCCCCTAATATAGTTTCCTTTGGATTTGGTCCCTTAGAACTTTCATTTGTAATGTTCCCAGTATCACTAGGGGGCTTCCCGACAGCTTCATCTGTGGTGTTTTTAATACTAGATCTCATAGTGTTTCCACGAGTCGCTAGGGATAGTCGGTCCACTTCTACAGAGCCCCGCATGCAGAAGTAAGGCGTAAATACAATGGGGTGCCCCCTGATGCCCCAAGGTTGAGGTCAGTAATGGCTAGTCCTCTATTTAGCCACGCGACCTGGTCTATTGACCTGGTCCCGCCTATTGACCTGGTCCTAGCCTATTGACCTGGTCCCGCCATCGTAGAATTTAGGTTTTTGGTGAGGTTGTCTCCTCTTGGTCCAGGCGGTTAAGCCAAGACCCCCCACACACCCTCTACCCACGAGACATAACCACAGTCAGTAGAGGGTGCCTGGTATGACGGACAGGGGTAGCCCCGTCCGGCTTCGTTATATGTCTTGGTTTGGTTTGGCCCAATTCCTTGCCCATGACACTACAGCCAGGAACAAGACAATGGGATGCTTCTTAGACCGACCGAAAGTGCTAGAGGAGATTCCTCCAGCACCTGACAAAGGAGCTTTCCCACCAACGACAAGGTCTTGCACCTCCTAGGGGAAGGCTTTATTTGTTATTGACCTCCGGAGGGTTAATTATAAGGCTTAAATTAAAATTATTTTTGTTAATACAGAATACAGACAGCTTAATCACCTATAACGTCACGATACGAACGAAATTCAGCTAGGCATTTCGAAGGTTATTAGGGGAATTTCGAGGAATTTTTCCCGAACGGGGAATTTCAGTGTACACATTTTGACATTCATTTCCCCCTCGGTACTACTTTTTTTTAGAGAAGATGATAGAGTTTCAAACATCATTTATTTAAAAAATACTTTTGTGTACAATTGTTTTTTTCCGTAAAATTTTCTGATATTTTTAATAATCATTAAATTCGATCCAGCCATTCTTGAGTTGCCATTCTTGAGTTATAAATGGAAATGGTATAACTGACCCCTCTTTGTTTTATTTATTTAGATTGATTTTCCGGTCCTCCTTTAACTAAATTAAATGGCCTAAATTTTCTAGTAAGTAAATAAGCCTAGTTTATAAAGCTAATTAATAACCATGTCGACGGGCTATTTAGAACAAATTAAACGTTATCTCCAAACAGAAATCTCCATCCCGAACGTTCGTTAAAATGTAGGAGTTGCGAAATTGTTTTGATACATTTTATAGTACACTCGGCTTGATCTATCCCCAAAATAACCAACAGGAATTAATTACATTTTCATTCGCTTTGTTTGGCGAACTGTTGGGTCAGCGCTTAAAATGTCTTGTCAAAGTTTTAAGATTTATTATTCATGAAGTCTAATGTAAACTAATTAATAAAAAGGAAATCAACAACAAAAGTTAGATTGATAATAACAATTAGTTATTATTTAAAATCTTTATTATTTAAAAAATGGTAGATAAAAATTTGATAGAAAATGACTGAATTTGATAGATTTTGAATAGAATGAGATAGAATGTATCAACTTTTAACATTTTCAATTAAAAAAATATCATTTTATATTTTAATTTAGAGTGGCCATGAATGTAATGACAATTTTACTAGAGAAATATCAGGTGTGTAATATCAAATATGCTAATGAGCCATCATTTGAAAAAATTGAGATAGTAATAAAAATACGTTTTGGGCATCTTTTAATCGGCCAGGACAAGACACGAAAACCATTAGACGATCAAATCTATTTTTCCTAGGCTCTTTGATTAAAAATTCGTGCTAAAAATTGGGAATCCTTCCTGTTTCTAATATGAAAAGTGCTCCTCAAATAAAGAGCATTTTGTCCGTCCGACGTAGAAATATATACCTCCGACACAAGAAACTACGAATTCAATATAGAATATAGAATAGAATATACCCCTGGATCAATCCTTTAAGAAACCTACAGTTTCATAATTTTGACAGAAAAATTGACCTTAGTAGTCAAGAAACTGGTGATAATTTTATACCCCGGCAAGATATCTTTTGCACAAGAGGAACTAAATATATAGGACACTGGATATGATGTCCAAAATTCCAAAAGGCCAAATGCGATGCGAAGGATATCATTAACCACCCTAGCCACCCTCTCTGGACCCGATGATTATGAGTCATGATATTATGAGTCATGTGTTTGTATTAATTTGAATCTTGAAGCCAAGTACGATGGACCACGATAAAGGATATTGATTAATTAATGTAGCATTTAAAAATATTTTTACTGTTATATTATATTATTAAAAAAAAGACTGATAGAAACTAATTTTTTCAGTATTTTTAGGTGGCATATTTGTTTCATAAAACTGAGCAAAAAATAAGGATAAAGAATGAAGAACAGAAACACCTTTGCTCAAGGTAAGCTGAGGTAATGAATTTCAAATCTACTACATTTACATTTCCTAGGGAAAGATTGAGTTGCTATGTTGATACTAAATAAATACTGCTCGGATGATATTATTTTGTTAGTTGATTTGTCGTTGTTATTTTTTATTCCTAGTATCAGCGTGACGTGATTACTTTTGGCCTATGATGCCCAGTATTTTTTTTAGAAAAACCATAATTGTTTTAGAGGTACTAGTTGAAGTTGATTTAGTTTTTTCCCGAGTCAGAAATAATATCTATAATTTATGTTACTAATAAAAATACACTGCGATTCTCTTGTCAATATGTATGTATGTTGTTCTGTTTTGTATATTGTTTATTGTCTATATTTCCGTGTTGATAAAACATGTTAATAGAAGCCACGCGACTTTTTCCAAACAATTTTTTACCACTTAGGTGATAAAGGACATGTAATGTAGTAGACGGGATTAAAAAGCCAAATAGATAATGATTTTTTTTAAGAAATAATTTGATGAATTTCCAACCACACCAGTGAGATGAAACTTTCCAGCATCGCAAGCTCTGTTCAGTTAATGTTATAGATAGAAGAAAGACACACCAAAGACACAGCCATGGTACTCTAGATTGAAATTTAAAAAACAATTTTTTTAAGCGAGAATGTCAAAAGTTGACATAATATGATATGTTATTGTATTCAGTGTTATTTTCTAGGGAATAAAGTAAAAAATACCAAGGGTGCAATTTAAAAATCAAAAGTTGTAGTCATTTCCGGGAAACAGAAAGTGACCGAAAACAATTGAATGCGTTGAATCAATCATAAATTTATGTCATGTACTAATATACCAAATCTGTTTTTTTTATCTGAAATAATAAAAAGTTATAGGGCTGAGCCACTTTTGAGACGCACCCGGTATATTATTATTATTATAGGCTTGGTGGCATTTTCCGCTGCTGCTGACACCATCGGATAACAGCGCTTTCAGATGGAGCGGACCGTCCGCGACTTCGAGCAAGTACCATGAGTTTATATGAACAATTTCACATGGGTCTCGTATGCTCCGTCCGGATGTTGTGCATATAAATTCATGGTTCTTACTCGAAGTCACGGACGGTCCGCACGGACGGTCCGCTCCATCTGAAAGCGTTGTAATACTTTGTACACTGGTTTATATAGCGAATACACGAAAACTTGTATAATTATTCTAAAACTGTTAGTTATAACAAAGTTATATTGATACATGTAGAAATGTGTTGTTTTTTTTAAATATACCCTTGCTTGTTTTGTATTAACACATACTGTAATTGTTTTTAATAAAATACCTCGATTAGATTTTTTCAATTTTATACAGTTTTTTTCACAATATTTTGAAGTAATCACTTGTCACTCAAATTTTAAATATCTTTGTAAAATAAAATAAACTACATTCAAAATAAAATGACAGACATATCTATCACTGTCAAGGATCTTGGCGTTGGACATACTAGATATTATAGTCACAATATAAAAGTCAGGTCAATGGAAAAATACGAGTTCCCAATTACTCGTAACTCGTAAAATTTTACGGAAAATATATTTTTAATAAAAATACCTACGTATACTATAAAAACTCCATATTAAAACCAGAAAATCTTTAAAGCACCATTTCTGAATAAAAATTCTGCATTTATGTACCTACGTCATTATACCTGTAATAAATGAGCGTTTTGTAACTGGAGCGGAAAAACCCTTTTGTAAACGAGTGTGAGATTTGACGGTTTCAGGAGAGGAAGCTGACGCTGAAAATAAGACGTGATATATGAAAAATTTCTTTTCCAGTAATACTATATCGTAAATCGTAATATCCCGCAAATTCTCTAGATGAAAAGGTTTAGCGAATTACAAGAGCTTTAAAGCAAAAAAGAAGTACTTCTGAAAAAGATGAAAAATGTGTTATAAAAGAAGAAACAGAATTTATCAAATCTCTGAATAGTATGGTAAATGTATATAGGTATATTTTTTTATTTTATATAAGTAAAAGAAGTACGAGTAGACAACATTTTCCCAAAAAGAATTACAAGATAATCAATTTATAAAAATAACAAATTTAGAATTAACATACACAAAATGGAAATAAACTAATAAATATGTAACACTAGCAAAAAAATCGAAATCCACCTATCGATGCCCGGATAAATGTAATACTCGTCGTAAGTCGAAAAAAAGAATGGATCTTATCTGATCTATATATGATCTGATCGAATCACGAAGGGGATTTCCCGGACGGCTGAAGAATCGCCTTCGTATTTTTATGCATAGACAATGAACGAAATGTTAGATGTTAGTGCCTTGGTAATATAAGTGATAAATTTAACAGAATCAAACCTCCGGCTTATACATTTCTGTCTGCACCATCAACAAGCGTCACTAGGAAACAACTACATATTTAGAAAGAATATTATGAAACACTGCCTAATTTGAAAGGACGCAACGCTGAAAAATTACATTTTTAGCCTATAACATAGACTAAAAAAGTAATTTTATTAGTATTAGTAATTTTATAGTATTAAATCCCAATAAAACCGTTTCTGCATGAAAATAAAGTTTTTATTACAATATTATCAGATTTTTTCATATAATAAACTATTGAATAAATATTGCATCTTGTCTCGATCTCGGTCTCAGCTGAGATTAAAAATCCAGGTTCGGTCGGACGTCGGACCTTATAACTAAATCTCAATGGAATATCCAATTTGGTAGGTCCAAGAATGGACCGAAAACCATAAATGAAGTAACATAATGCCACTACATTCTTACGAATACTAGTTTAATGGGCTCTTTCACAAAAAATAAAATACCCAATTCAAGGACAAAATCTGAAATAGAAGACTATTTTCAGTATATTTATCCAAAAAAATAGTTCCATGACATTGAATATTTTTTTATAGGCCCTCAAAATTGCTTTAATTTGAAATAATTTTAAAGTGCCAATTGATGACGTATGAAAAATACGCCGAATCACATTGCAGAACCGTGCTCGTGCGCCAGCCAACAACTGGCAACATTGCGATTTGATTTGACCAGCACCACCTCAACTCAAGGGCAATCAACATGATATAGGCAAGGCAAATATGGCGGCGAAGGCAGCGCATTATTAAACTGTTTACCTTTAACCTGAAAAGCCGGTAATAATTAATTATCTCTAGTTTGTTGTGCTTCTGCAACACGTTTGTTTAGTTCTCAGTGTTGAATGCATGGTGTGATCAGAAAATTGTGATAAAATAACAGTGTAATAAAAATCCAAACCAGACATTCCACATAGGGAACTTCTAACTTTTGTGCTTGTCGTACTCCTCTATTATTAATTATTTTAAGGTAAGAACTAGAAGTATTTATCAAGATGTTACACCTAAATGACTAAAAAGCCTTCGCCGCCAGTCTGCATAGTACTTTATATTGGTTACTTACAATAATCAAAAGATAGGTATTAAAGGGTAGGTATTCATATTTTATTGTAGCATGCCTTTTACGTGCTCTGTTCCAAATTGTCACGGGAATTATGGAGGGGGTCCCAATGTTTCTGCTTTTATATTCTCCAAAAATGACGAGCTTCGTAAAAAATGGTTGACAGCTATTAAAAGAGATAATTTCACTCCTACTAGTAGTTCTCGGGTAAGAAGTGCATTAAATATGCCTCAAAAAGCCAAAGGCCAAAGCCTCTGTTACCCTAGTGAGGATGTAGTTATGGCTACTGCTACTCACTATAAGTAAAATATTGGAAGCAGAATCAAGCTTCTTACATCAAAAAGATCATAGAAAAATATTGACAACATTGACATTTGAAAATATAAATGGCCTGGATGTAAGTCTTTTTTTAGGTCACAATTGCCCCTCACCTACGTCAAAATTTATTATTAAATCCATTTTGTTCAGAATATCCAATATTTTATTGAAGAATTATGCAAAAAAAAAGGAATGACGTCTTTACCACAAAGAGATAAGAATGTCCTATGTAAAGAGAAAGAGTAAAGAAAACTAAGCTAAGCGTAAGTTTTACTTACGAACCCCCAAAAAGGTATTTAGTTTTTTTTCTATATAAAATCTTGAAACATATATTATATTTTTTATTTATCCTCACCTATTATAGTTTAAATTTATTCTCACTTGTGTAATTAATTCCCATTTGTGTAATTAATTCCCATTTGTGTAATAGAAAAAATATTCCATATTTTTTGGCCCAAGTCAGTGTAGTTTATAATTCCAAGAGCATTTACCATGGCTTTTACTAAGACAAGTAACTTCCTATACTGTCCATAATAGTATATATTTATCAAACGTTCAGTAAATTCTAAACTATGGTTGGTATGTGTTTGCAATTGAATATTTAGTTTATATTGCTATTTTCTGTCATATATTTCTGGTTATTTCTTTTTTCGATGATTCTGAACACCCTATATATACTACCTCAAGTTTGAATATTTTAACACTACCTATTTTATGAGAAAGGAGACCTTTTTATAAAAAGATATTTATACATATACACTAACTGATGTTTTCATAAAAGTAATAATACAAAAAATTCCATACTTATGTGGAGAACTTTAGACTCCCTGTATATTAAAAAATTAGTGAAATATTACGTAATCTAACACGACATTTGTGTGAAAAATGTCTATTTGGAAATGAAACAGGTTTTAAAATACGCGTCAAATAAAGCACTTCTATCTCCGCCATATTGGAAAAGGTTGAATAGCCTTGTGTGGGGGTGGTGGTGGGTCAGCATGGTGGCCCGGCCTGCAAAAATTTGACTTCTTTATGAAATTTGAAATCTTGTGTAGTCTTTACAAAAAATACACCTAGTATAAAAAAATTATAAAAGTTTAGCAAACAACTTTAAAAAATATTGCAAAAACAAAAAGCTAAAAATAAAGGTAATCAATACTCAATGTATTTTAAATAAAAAAATATGTCTCCACCGTGACAGTGTTTGACACTGCCGTGACCAGGATTCGAACCTGGGTTACTACGGCCACAACGTAGGGTCCTAACCACTAGACGATCACGGCTACCGGAGACTTGTAAAATATTTATTTTGTTTAAAATTCGAAGAAATTTTAATTTGTTGCGCTCCACTTAATGGTCCAGTGCGCTCGATTCAATCATCTCCGACTATAAAAATAACTTTATCTTAAAATTGATTCGGAAAAGAAAATAAAGCCGGCCATTCATTATTACGAAAACCAAATGATATTTTTTTAATACCATTTTTATAATTAATAATTACAGTTAAATTTTTTATCACTATTTTTTTTAGTATTACCCTTTTATATCATCTTTTTAGAACTCTTTGACAAAAAAGGTGACATCTGTTTATTGTAACTAAATTAATATATTTCAAAAATAGTGTGATGTTGTTGAAGGCAGATTATTTATAAATTGACAAATTGATAACAATTTAAATTTTTATCATATTTAATTTTGTTACCGAAATTTATTTATTGGCTGACCATTTATGGTTAATAACGAAATAATTTTTCAAGTCTTTCCAAAACATATTAAAATTGTGAGGAAGCTAAGTTAGGAAACTATCTCTTGGCGTAAATTTATCACTTAGGAAAATATAAAATTGCAGCAAATAATTTCTTGTTGCAATGTCTAGTGAGTTGTTCCTCCAAGGATATATTCCCCATTATGTATTGAAATTAATCTATATTACCTCTATCTTCTATATTTCAACAACTACACTATTAGCACAGATAACACATAATCCAGATGGCTCCTTACGTGTTAAAAATTGTCACCCTAATTTCACTCCAATTTGGAATAATATTGGAGTGACATTTGAATAATCTGAAATTTTTAGATTTCTTTTCTCACTTTTTTGGGAGGTTTTGCTTCTCTTGCACAGATGTCGCTTGCACTTCAGTTGCGTGGTTGCCAAACGTTATATCGAAATATATTTCATTTCATTATGAATATATAAAATTAAAGGTATACCAAATTAAAAATTATGTTTTATAGCAAGATATGGAAAATTTAATAGCATTGTTGACAATACTAGTATAGTTATAATATTATAAAATGGAAAACAAATTTCTTGCAGTATAGGTATATAATAAAATTATATAAGAATTCTTGCCATTTAACGGCTGATATAGAAATTTAATTCCACGCTGTGTTTGCCATAATGTGGATCAACCTGCTCTCACTACCGGTTTCGGATCCCTACTCCATCATCAGGTGAGCTTGGGTCGATTCCACAAAATGACAAACACAGCGCAGAGTAGTTAATTCCGACTTGTCGGAAAGTATCGGTTAGATATTCGGTTAGATAGTAAAGGGTGGTAACATCTTTACTATCGATAGTTGCGCCTCGATGGTACGTAAGTACTACCATTGCACGCAGGCCGCTATCTCCCGTTTGGGATTTAATATCTAACCGATACTTTCCGACAAGTCGGAATTAACTACTCCGCGCTGTGTTTGTCATTTTGTGGAATCGACCCAAGCTCACCTGATGATGGAGTAGGGCTCCGAAAACGGTAGTGAGAGCAGGTTGGTCCACATTATAACAAACACAGCGTAGAATTAAATTTCTATATCAGCAGTTAAATGGCAAGAATTCTTATATAATTTTGTTATGATTATATTGAAACTGCCTTAAGTTTTAGTTTTTCCTTGTAGTTGTTCATATAAATCAGTCAAATTTTAGTAGAACGTAAACAATTATTTTTGATTTAATAGTTAAATAGAATTTATTAAAAAAATCATTTGTGTTAATATATCTTATCTCACAGTCTTATGTTGGGTTCATGCTTCCGATCCTAAACTCTAAAACTAACATAAGTTCTAATCCCATGAATATGAATCAACTTTACCGAACGAGATCTAGCGTTCCTGCTTTCAACGTATCGAACTTAACATTAGCCTTAGGGTACGTTTATGTTGGAGCTGCGATAAATGATAAAAGCAGTGAATTAGCGCTGCTCTTATCGTTGCTCAACTGCCAAGCGTGTCTCGACGCGTTGCTCCAATATAAACACCTACATATAAATTAATATAATAATATTCTTTGCTTCGCTACTATCGCTGTTATCGTTTATCGCCGCTCCAACATAAACGCACCCTTAAGCTTGATTTTCATGTATCCGTTATTCGACGATACGACGATATTAATTTTATTGGTTGAATTTAAAGACTTCGTTGGTTCATACCTCCTTTCATCGGATATTATATACATTATGATTGGTGTCATTTTATATTTTCATTTCCATAACGATTTTGCTGTTTTACTTATAGTCTAAGAGCTAGCAACGTTTTCGAGACAGAATTTTAAGAAAGCTGGGGTGGAACAAGGCTACGGTCAAGGACAGTATTCTTCATCGCTACTAATCGCTATTCAGTTACAGAGCTCCACCCCTGGTTTTTTAATATATCTTTTGTTATGTTCTCCTGAACAGAGTGTGGACCAAACCCTTATTGTATCATGATGTGGACCGTCTGGCTGCCGGTTGACATTGCGTTCACTGCTGCGCATCATATCTATATTCAACATCTGTTAACTATACTGCGCATCACAAATTCGTCCTGTATTTGAGGAACTAAGGAAGTTAAAACATATAATATGTATATTTAGTTTCATAAAAAAGTAGCAAAGTAATGTGAAAATTGCATCTATATACATAAACGAGAAATCCCATAAAACACACGAAAATAGGATACCCTGTACAGATGTGATGTGCAGTAATGAACCGCAGTAGTCTACCCATCGCCAGATTTCCCGTACTTTTGTCAGGTACAGGAGAGCACTGGAGAGCACAGCAAAGGATATATGGATATATTAAAGAACCAGCTTTCGTAAAATTCTTGTTTTCCCGTTGTTGCTAGCACTTGTACTATTATATTTTTATTAAGGTTGGATTAAATTAGTCTAAAAATATTAAAACATCCGTTATCATACGATCTTTCTCCGTTGACAGGCTGGACTAAAAAATTTACGGATGAAAAGTGACTCGAAAACGCTGACCAATCAGAGCTCCGGCGCCGTCGGACGTATCAACGAATAACGGACGCATGACAATGAAGCGTTAGTCCTAACTGGTCCTAAGAGAAATATAGTATATTTTATATTCTTAGGGCTAATGCTAAATTAAAAATATACTTGCGCATACTCAAAACTTGAGGTGTTGAGAATTTTCGAAATAATATTTGACATGTTGAATTTGACGGTTTATAAATGTTAATACATTTTTCTAGAAATTATTAATGTAAAAATTAGTTTCTAGAATTTTCTTGAAACAAGTAGGGGAAGTATGACTGATATTTTCTTATAAGGTTAATTTCTTAGGGTTAATGTTAAGGGTAATGTTAAGACTAATATTCGAAGTATGAACCCAACATTAGTCGTTTGAAGTAAAATACGAAACAATTAATGAAAAACCGTGAAAAATTATTCAAAATGGCTAATTTCAGCTACTGTTCAATTTGCGAAGTTTGAGTCTTTCGTCATATATTGCCATTCTCTCTCTTATCCATGTTTATCACATGAAATGGAAATTTTGTGTCAAAAACGTAAGTCCATTATATTTCTTACATCATACGATTAATTTTTTCGTTTTACATACGGATCACCTTCATTACGTATAAAGAATCGTACTTCCTTCTCTAATGTGCATGAATAGAGAAAGGCAAACAGCATATTTATTGTATTACCCACCGAAATCGAACAAAAGAATATCGCCGACTGTCAACGTTGTCGTTAAATTTTAACGACTCCGATAGTTTCCCGTAAATTTTTGTGGGATTTTCTGTGTTTATTTAGTTATTTGTGATTTAATTTGTGTTTAAAATGCCGTCCCGTTTTAGTGAAAAAGAATAACGGCTCATATTAAAAGTTAACAAGTATTTGAAACTCGCAAAAGATGGTGGAAAATACCCTTTTACCTGTGTCGGCTGTTTACGATGTAATTGGACAACTACCGAGTTAATATTTTCTAACTAAATCGAAAATATTCACGTGTTTTATAGAGAGCATCGGAGGCTTTAGGAATGTCATGCTCGACTGTGCAAAGAATAAGTTCCAGAGGAATCGTGAAAGATAAAGAACAAAAAGCAGCAAAACAAGTCACAATATTCGTTTGTCCCCTGGAATTCCTGCTTATAAGATCCATGAACATATTAATAGAGGACGTATTTATTCATTGTATACACTGCGGGTAAGCTACAATAAATTTGTCATTGTTTAATATTTTGTTATTAAATTTGTTATTGTTAGTTTACAACCAGAGATATAAACAACTCATGGACCAAGTCAAGAAATACGTGAAAACCAATATGGCGCCGAAAATGATGACGAAAGTTGATGACCAAACCAAACTTCGCAAATTGAACAGTATATCGAGTATAGTCTGCTTGTTTATCACAGACACGTCTATTAAAGCGTTTTTTTTTCCTGGCTTCTAACAACGGGAAGAGTTCCAATGAGTTATAGGGATTATAGGGTAAATTTCGATAGACGACATTCAAAAAAATTACAGATCATACAATCTACGTATTAATTAAAGTGACAGACCCAACTGTCAGTGTCAGGGATCCTCCCTTTAGTTAGAATATTTCCCTAAGCCGTTCAGTTTTTGTTGACGAGCCAAATTTGTTTAAAAGTAAAAAGGCCACTGACTGCTGAATTCGGTATCTTATTATATTATATGGTGTCTGACGTACTGGAATTTTATAAAAAAGTCCTTTTGTACTTTTTTCAAAAATAAATTAAATCTTGTCGTTTAGAATCATAAGAAGTTTGAAGCAAAATTAATTGGTAAAAATAACTTTAAAACGAGTAAAATCTAATAATAACGTAAAAAATTATAACTTAGTAAACAAGGGCCACGTAACGACGCAATGTCCGGTTATTGTAATGTCATTATCAAAGGATCGAACCTGTCAGATACGTGTTCCAATCTATTTTCCATCTTTCGGTGACTAATTGACTTCCTGGTCCTCCGTAGACTTGGACGACGAGCGGATATCTTGTTATCTCGTCCTCTCGCAATCCAGGAGGTAGATGAAGTCTGAAAATAAATCAGAGGATTTTAGTTAACAGTGTATTTTACAAAATAATAATAAATACAGAAACAATATTTTATTACATAAATTATTTGTTACTTGGGCACTTATATATTTTTAATTATTTCTTATATCCTTTTTTTAACGCCAAAACAAAAATCGCACTTATACAGGGTCCTAGAATTATTGTGCGTCGTGCATATGTAGCTCGTAGAATAAAAAACTTTTGTTTAAGTGCAAACCTAAAGTACCTATATACTAGGATGCATTTCAGGAAAATAATTTTACTTCTATAGGGTGGCTCAACTTTGAAAATATTAGAATTTTGTTAAATTATTATTTTTCAAATCAATGAATTCGAACCAATTAACCCATATGATGGCCTCCCCGATTCCCGGATTTGTCCGTTCTCGATTTTTGATTTTGGGGATTTTTGAAATACGAAATATATCATGGCAACTACAGCAATATCGAACACCTGAAAATGCTTTAATAATGCAAGGTTTTCGATATTTGCAAACCCACCCCGTTATAACAAATTTCGTTATAAAAAAAAAGAAAAATATATTCATAAATTCAGTGGTAACAGTTCAAAAGTAAAATATATCAATCCCAAATAACATTTTAATATGTGTATGACTATTTTAGTAAATACCATTTTGATTTTTTTTGTTATTTATCACGGCATACTAATAAGAAAATGATATATTTTAAATATTGCAGTAAATAGTGAAAATAAATATATAGTGATATATATTTTTGAGAATCTCACAGCAAAACAGATCATATGATTTATAAATATACAGGGTGTTCCATTTGAAAAAAAAAAACATAACTTTAGTTCATACCTTTAAAACTATTCTTTTCGTAAAATAACGGACTACGCTACTGTATTCTTCTCTGCAAAATTTTCGAGAAGACCCTGTAGCTCAGGAACGAAGAGGGCTATGATATAAAATAATTTTTCTTTTTTTTTTAATGAAACTTGTCTCGTGAAACAGTTCGAAATAGTACGATAAATATAAGTCCGTGTTATAAAAATTTTGTGGAAACTGATCGAAACGCTTCTTGAAACAGAACGAGACGCCGTAATTTTATCAATAAGGGCGTGTCTCGGTCAATTTTGTTTTATTTCAGAATTTGCTGCCGAGATTTCCCGCAACACAAGAAAAGTATTCAGTTTATTTCTGAAAGTATTTCCAGAAATGTCTCGCGAAATGTTTCACAAAATATTTCCAGAAATATTTCGTAAAACATTTCGGGGAACAGAGGCTGTTTTAGAATTATATAAAGTGATCTGAAGGGAAGCCAAAACTGAAATAATATACAGGATGTTCCATTTAAAAAAAAATATTCCGATCCACTCACACTCTTTTGAAGTTAAAATATTGATATGAAATATATCCAAGTACATACTTTGCCCTTAAACTTCTATAGTTTTTTTTATTCTAGGAGCTACAGATGACCGACGCACGATTGTCGGACCCTGTATATTAATATAAAAATTGAATCATTGATTATTGAAAAACTGTATAGCTTTAGAAAAAGAGTGATAATCAAATATGATTATCGTAATATCAACATGTAATCATTATAAGATATGAATGCCTTCTATTACGGATTATCGTTCCCCACCTACCTCTGAAGCGTTTTTTTTCGATCATACGTTATAAATTAATATAAATTGATTCAGATTAATGTTTATAACTTTTTTCTGTAGAAAATCTTAAAACGTTGCTACTAAATATGCTTGAGCCATGTTTATTTTTTCAATTTTATCTGTCAGGTTTCTTAGGCCTTACCACAGACTTTACGCTGTATTAATGCTTACGCGCCCTTAATCCCATAAAATTGAAATAAAACACCTGTTTAATAAAACAAGGGAAAAAGCTAATAAAGCTTAATAAATGCGTTAGGGTAACTCCTGCTTTCGGATTTGCTGCTGAGCAGTGCATAAAGAAAATTTTATCGGGTCACAGAAAAGTTAGCCCATAAAAACTGCCTTGATATAAATTCCAGAATTATTTGGAGGCCATTAAAAGATTAACAGAGTTTCGTAATATCCAAGCTCGTCTTTAAAAAATATTTAAGATTGAAAAAGTAGACGGTAAAAGTTAATGACGAAAAATTTATGATTCGCAAAACCATATTCCTAAATTCATCCTAAATACTATCGTAAAAAAAATCGGCAACCTGGTAAGACATCAAGTTTTTTGAAGTGAAACTTCTTTACGCGCGTTGGGAGTAAAAATTCACAGTGACACACAGTGCCCTTCGCGGCTAAGAAAATCACCATAATAAACTCGATACTGTATATACCAACCTTGATGTGTACCAGTCAAAGGTACCAACGGTCTGGTTGTGTGCTAAGAAGTAAATTTTCATGCATATTTTCATCGATAGGTTTGTAGCTTCTGAATAACGGTCTAGGTAAAGCATCTAGCTAATTTGCTAGCTCAGAATTAGAATTTAGAGTTAGTAACTCGCATTTTCATTGGAGGACACTGTCATATTTATTTCAAACCAATAGTCAACGAGAATATCCGTATAATTTAATAAAATTACTGTAAATCACTATAAATCATGAATTATTTGTAACTGAGCTGTAATTTATGTATTATTAATCCGGTAAATGATAGAAATAAACAACTGTGATTGATTAAAATTCTTAAAAATCAACATTCTGAGAATTCGAATAATGACAAGACAAATGACATCTGTCTAAAAAAGATTTAGAGTGACAATTTGGTTATGTAAAATTTGAGTAACAATTTTAATTATGCAAAAGAAACGATTAACATTAATTTAAAAATAAATCCCCAACATGAATAATGAACAAAACATTTAAACAAAAACAGACCACGCAAAAGAAATTGTTGGTTAGTAGCAGTCAGAGATATAGATGTAGAGAATTATGGTTTTTTTTAATAAAAATTAAAAATAAATGATAAAATTATAAAGCTAGAATAGTACAAGGTTTATATTAACTATATTTTTTTGAAGTTTATAAAAAGCATTCATAAAACAATATATATCCTTCAAATCCTTCAATTTAATAGCTGTTAGTAAGAAGTTTAATTTCAAATATGCGCACATAGTACATACACAATTTTTTTGAGAAGCACTGCAGATAACCTTATTAGAACGAGAAAGTGGTAATAATGGGCCTGTATGTCTCTTAAACGCCGTTAAGGAGGTGAGTTTTGTTGCTGTAAATAATAACTATATAAATATTATAATTAATTTATTTTTGTTTCTTAAAATATGTTGATTAAAAAAATAATAGTAGACAACGCTATGCCTGATGGACAACAACGATCTATAGATCTATTGTTATCCTTTATTGATCCTAAGTTTACATTCCCCAGTCCAATCCTTTTCAAAAGGTTTAGCAACTTGGAGACTCTGTCAATGGCCTATTTTGGGCCTATTATTGCCTATTGCAGAGAACCGCGCATTTTCCAGGCTATCGCACCGACATAAAGTGTGTTCTGTCGTTTCTTCGTTTTATTGACAGAATCAGCAAATGGCCTCATCTGTCAAGCCCATTAGCTTTAGATGCCTAATCAGTTTACAATGCCCTGTTGAAGATCCACTATAGCTTTGACTGTCTTTCGGTCTTGGATTATCCTTGTTAAGGTGCGTCCACATTGCTCGCGAGCAGGCCGAACGAACACGTGAAACACGAAAAACATGACAAGCAGTCGGAGCGAGATGTTCGCGGCGCGGTGCTAGCGGAGGTCGCGATGCTCCACGAGCTTGCGATCACACGAAATGCTTGTTTCGACTGTTCAGTTCTCGCGGTACATCAAAGAGATATTTCGGAGCAGCACGAGTATACTTTACGGCAGTTCGAGGCACTCGAATTGTTTGCGTTGTTTTTTAGTATGGTTTCATTATTAGGATTCGGTATTTACTACAGTATGGAGTGGACGGATAATAGTGTAATAAGGTATATTACATTGTAGGTACGAGACTTACCACGGTTTGTGGGACCCTCAACACAAATTTTACAAATTAACTAATAAATAAAATGACGCGTGCAATTATTTTTGTAATACTTGAAACATAGAATAAATAACTCAAACTGGTATATGAGTCTGCAGTTGCAAGGAATCATAATATTAGGATCAAACATTTTTAACCGGATCTTCTCTTTCAATACGGGGGCCAACTAGGTTAATAAGTATTTTACAATCAGTAGCGGACAAAAGTTATTATTAAAAAATATTCCGTCTATTTGCAAATCGCATAGAATATTACTTCTAGTGTACTGCAATCTACTTTTGAAAATATTAAACATCGAACGCCGCCTTTTTTTTCTTTTTGTCTCCTTCGTTTTGCAATAGTGGTTGCATGAGCACCCGCTATTAATAATAATTTAAGTACGGCGCTACAATGCACAGTGGTTCCTCTTAATTAGCTGCGCGGTCATAACTGTTATATATCTAGATATAGCTTGACTGCACCATTTTTGAAAATGATAACAAATGCTAAATAAATATATATAAAAAACTTAATGTAATATGTATTAAAAAAATTGGGTCCAATTCGTGTGATTTGCATTTTTAAGTTCTAACTATTCGGAAAGGTATACAGATTATGTTTGCACATATGTACATGTTTTTTCATATTGAAGAGGTCAAATTTATTTTAAATGTTGAAAAAATAAAAGAGACAGTTGTTTCATTTTATAAATACAATTTTATTGTGAATTGATATACAGTGTGTCCACGAAATAAGTTGACACGAAGAGGAAAAAATAAGTTAATTTTATTTTAAGACAAAAAGTCAATCTTTAACCACCCGGTATAAGATCCGGCGGCAATTCGCGGCAGCCAGTGGCAATTAATTTATATGCAATATACTTTAAGCAACAAGTATTTTCATGCCGTTTAAGAGGATTTGAAAGAAAAAGTAGTTAAAAGTCTTAAAGAATGACAAGCAAAAATTTAAAAATACTATTTTTGTTACTTTCAAATAAAATGCCATAAACTAATATTATTTGGGTTTAATTAAGTGCAAAAAAGAAAAAACAGTTCTTTTTACCTTCTTTTCGAACGTCTATTACAGAAAAGGCAACAGCTTTTATCAATTTTAATAAAATAAGTAATTAATTGGCGTTATCTGAAAACTGTTAATGTCAGCTTGATACCAGTAGCAAAAAATGTGACATTTCAAATAAAAAAAGCGCTACACTAGGCTTACTTGATTTTGTTATTTATTAGGTATCGTTTACAGGGGAATATAAGAAAAGTATTAGCAACAGTTTCATGCAAACATTTTGAAATTAATATTTCTAAGTAATGACCTATCTGGGAACCACTGTGCAATGTGGATGCCGTTGCTTGCGAGCCGAAATATCTTGAGAAACACTACAATTAGGAGCGCAAGCAACGCAAGCATAGTCAGAAGCAAGAGCGCGAGCATGATCACGAGCAATGTGGACGCACCTTTATATAACATGAGATAAGCAAATATTGATAAGATCGAAAATTTGAATATAAAAGACCAATCAATTAAATTTTTGATTCAAACTAGTCAAGTTTGGACTTACCTGACGTGAGCTTGATATCCCCCTGAAATCTGGACAGGAAAAGTCTTGATTTGTGGCATGGCCATTTTGGCAACTTTTTCTTTGAGCCTTGTGTTGTTCTGTAACCACAGTAGCATTTTAGGTTTTGGCATGCTACTTTTAAACAATCGAATACTTGGCACTCCTGGACCCAAACATTCCAATACGAAATATTGCGAAGTTGGACTGAAATATAATTAAAAATAGGTCAATTTAGATACACTTATTTATAGTTCGTTTATAATGTACCTAAATATCGCATTGTGGTAGAGACAAGGGGGATCTCTTTCAGGTGGTTTCTGTTTCTGTCTTTTTTTTTTCTTTGGAGCTGGTGTCGTTATGACAGTATCTTCATCTTCGTCTTCCCAAACACCTGCATTAAAATGAATATATTAAATTTGGAAAATTTTGAAGAACAGTTTTCTTTCGCAATAATATTTTTTTTAATTCAATTTTTATTGCTTCTAAAATATTTTGATGAAGTTTTTACTCCACGCCATTTAATTATTTATCTATTAGTACAAAACAGGAATATACGGGAGAGGTAATGGGGGGTAATTACACCCCTCAGGAAGAAATCTATCAACAGGATAAATGTGGTAAAATAAAATTATTGTCACAGAAGAACTCAATAATTCCAATGAAAATAGAAAACCCAGACCAATCCCAGTTCATTTTGTTCCACAGTCACAATACTATTCGGCGAAAATTTTATTTAAATCTATGCTTTACTCAAATCGCCAGACTCGATCTCTAGATGCGTCAGTGGTACAAAATGGATGTATTGTCGTAGGTATATTAAAAATTTACTTTTTTTATAAATTTCCCAGGCATTTTTTTCCTATTTTTCTTTTTGTTATGACTAACAATTCAGGCAAATTGATAAACCTTTCGAAAAACAAGAACAAAAAAATATACACTACTGGCAAAGGAATATTAGCAATAGGAGGTTTTCAATGCGATAAAAAAGATGGTAAGGCTGCAAAATACACTGCAGTGCAACAGAGACGGTTAAAGTGTCTTTTCCCTACCATCGTATAGGGGAAGTGATCATAGAAGTGATACGACGAGAGAGCCCCTGCGAGAGGGGGCGCCGGGCGGGTCTTTAAGACGCTTGTGCGGGGGCTACCGCCTACTAATAGAACAGAATCGAAAAAATAGAAACAGGACGGACAGTGTTGTCATTCAATTAAATCGAAATTATGTTGGCTTGTCAAAATCCTAAATCTTCTAATCCCATTATCTTGCCTACTTAATGAAATATTAAATAAAGTACGATACAATTTTACGAATGTTTTCTCTAGGCACATAACTTCTTTCTAAAATGAAAAGTAACATGCAAAACTTTGATATCATTTCTAAAATAGCAAGTGCAATTCTATGAAATGGCAATACTGTACGATCTTCCTAGCAGTCGCCCCGACACAGTCGGTCGGCGGCGGCGCTTCACAAAGCCGCGGCTGTGACAAAGGAATTAGGCCGAAAAAAACTTTATAAGGAGTAGACGAACAGGGTTGCCGGGTTTGTTAGATTATAATTCCATACGAGAACAAAATTCTCGGTAGATCTTCAACAAAAATTAAAAGTACAGAAACGAAATAAAATATAATATTTAAGTCCAAAATTAGCATTCCTATGTGTCGTAATAATAGATCACTCAAATAAAATACAAATATAATAAATATAACAAGAATTAGAAATAGCTAGGTATATTATTTAATATTAAAAAAAATATTGAATTAAATAATATTAATATATTAATAAAAACATATAAAACTATAACAAGTAGGGATAGCAGTCACAAATTAGTGTAGCAGTCACTTTTTACCTTTGTACAAATTTTGATCAGTGATATCTAAAATTAATTTCATTTCAATGGGAAAGCTGTAGCAACTCTCACTCTTTTTTCATATTAATATATTTTTTGACGGGAAAATCACTAAAATATTTGTCCGAATTTAGGTTGTTTCTTAACTTAAATTTTGTTTTTGTTTACATTTTTGGGGAAAATATGGGTTCAACTTTAGTAGATGAATGAAATAAAATCTTTTCAAAAGATATCAACTTCTTCGGGCATGTCGCCAATACCGCGCCTAATAAGGAGTAATAAGGATTTTTAGGAATATCTCTGTAACTCTGCAACTAGACAGAACGATGACCTGTATGTGTGTTATTACTACTCACAACCACTACTCATAGTATGTATATCTATGTATTTTTAAACATCATTATGAGATTTAAGTCATAGGTGCCCATAATATGAGTAGCGGTATTGACGGTTTTTTGTTATGATGAAAATGTTGTGTGATATGAAAAAGCAACAAAATATATTATCGATTGCAGCAACTATACCTAGTTTACATTCAGTATGTCCAATTAATATAGAACATTATTAGCTATGCATGATTTTAAAAATTTGCTACCATTATATTTTGATAGTTGAGTTTTTGAAATTATTTGTTAGCTTCTTAAACAAAAGAGACCCATAATGAACGATGACCTGTATGTGTGTTATTACTAAATAAAATTTAATGAAACAATAATAAAGTCAGATTATACAGATTCCAACGCGGCAGTCGCTTAATTTTTAGTCAAATAAGTCAGCTTTTTAAAAGTGCTTCTATTGTAAAAACTAAAGACGCAGTTGAATATATCGTTAAATTTTTCTTTAAATCGGTAGATCGGTAGCTTACAGATGAAACCGGTAGACCTGGCAACTCTGTGATGAACTGACGGGAGTCGGAATAGCGAGGTGCGGAGGCGCGGGAAGGGAAATAAAATAATGGCGATAAATAAAGGGCAGGGAGATGGGTATCATGAGTGGTTGGGAGGTGGCGGAATTTCCAAAATTTGTTATCTTATTGGAGTTTGTCTAAGTAGACAGTCGTAGTGGAAGTGGAAACGGGGAAGTTGTTGTCCATCTCTGTTTAAGCATAGACTTTTTATAGGCGTTTCATTCCAATGCATGTAATTCCTATGCCTAGAGATCCATTGCCGGGCCTGTATATCGGTACCAATTAATTTTAAGTATTTGAGAATTGCCGTAAAAACGTGGAATCGTCGTAAAATTGTCAGATGCTGGCCTAATTGCAAAATTTTATACTTATTTAACTGTTTCTAAAGTAGATTGAGATCTGAAAATCGCTATTCTAAGAATTTAATTTAATTCAGGGCAATTAAGGTGCCACATAGAACAAGATCCTCTAAAGCTGAATTTTTGTAGTTAGTTAGCCATTGTGGTCCAGATTAACATACAAAAATTCCCCATCCCTCCGACTGTGCAAACCACAAAACATCCCCTAAAGGTACAATTTTTTAGTCTTTGCTAAATATCTCCGATACGCTCAACTTTATTAAAAAATTGACAGTTACCAAAATTATTGCTTATAAAATTACCTACAAAAAAAACGGTGTATATAACTGCATGATTTGACCAAATCACTGGTGTGCAGTAAGGGCTTAAAACTCAAGATTTATATATTATTATTTAAATACCTACAATTTTTTTTTAAACAAAAGACTAACATAGATTTTTTGAATAGAACAAAATAATGTTAACTAAACAAAACTAACAAAAGTAGTTTTATTACATCTCAAGCAAATAAAGTTATTATTTATAAACAACAAGTGAAACAATATAAGAAATAAAATATAATGATACAATCTGCTAATTTCAACATCAAAAGTCAAGGTTACTTTGGGAGAGGCACAAAACGACACCCCCCGCGTCCCGTTGTAGTAACGCCAATGCTCACTAAACAAATTTCGATAATACATATCATAAAATTGCACTTAAAAATTAAATTATATTTTCTCATCGTCTTCCGGTAATTTCAGAATTTTAAATACATTATTACGTGACTGTTTTTGACATCATTCTTAGAGATTCACAGTTGAGAAATATTTATTAAACCAATCAGAATGAGTATTATGTTACCGTAAAAGCCCGAATATTGGTTAAACGTAGGGTTACCCACGTAGGAGCCCGAAATATGCAAAAAAGGTCACTTTATGTTAAGTTTAGATTAGGTCTATATTTTTGTTAATGCAAAACCAACTAAAACCTAATTCTAATCTAACCTAAACTCACTCCATCTTTTGCATATTTCGGGCTATTACCTGGGTATTTCTAGGTTTAACCAATATTCGAACTTACGGTGTAAATTTATGGACGGTCCATAAATTTAAATTCGCCGTACAAAAAATAAGTAATAGTTACTGTAGATAAAAATAAATTAAAATATAGTTCCACGATAACTTAGTTTGCAGCTTCTTTTCATCATACCTAGTAAAACCCCGTCACAACCACTACTCATAGTATGTATATCTATGTATTTTTAAACATCATTATGAGATTTAAGTCATAGGTGCCCATAATATGAGTAGCGGTATTGACGGTTTTTTGTTATGATGAAAATGTTGTGTGATATGAAAAAGCAACAAAATATATTATCGATTGCAGCAACTATACCTAGTTTACATTCAGTATGTCCAATTAATATAGAACATTATAGCTATGCATGATTTTAAAAATTTGCTACCATTATATTTTGATAGTTGAGTTTTTGAAATTATTTGTTAGCTTCTTAAACAAAACAGACCCATAATAATTCAAATCTTTATCATCCAAGACTTCCAAGAATTATAAAGTAATCTCACATCAAAATTTTTTAAAATTATTGCATGCCTTAAATGTTTGCAAAGTTAACAAAAATATGTCTTTGATTACCTGCAATTAATATATTTGGTCCAATTTATCAGTTCTGCATCATATCCGAAATTCAGATTGTGTGTGACACAACGTGCAACGGGAACGACAAGAAAATGGCAAGTAAAAAAAATTGTAAAGTCTTAATTACTAATTACACAGTCGTTCTCTTGAGTTCTACTGCCTAAAGTCTATATTGCCTTCCCTAAGATTTTAAATATAAATGATTGAAACTCATACAAGTTTACCACAATTTAAACTTATGATAATTATTTAATTATTAAATCCATAATTATATTAAATTATAACACTTACGAAGTTACTAAATATTAACTATTTCTACTTAATCATTTAATAATTCTGATAAAAACACGCTTGATTATTTATTTTAGAAATCATACGGGCTATATTCATTAATATGACTATATTAACAATACTTAAATCAAAATTTATTTGAAGGAATGCTACTGTATTACAATAATTGTAAAACAAGTATATAATAACAACTCGGAATAATTATTAAAAACTGCTCATCTTGTTATAGATGTCGGGGATCTTGTCTCTATTATTTTAGTAGCCGTTTAGCTATAGTTTGATTTCAGATAATGCAGATTTTAATATGCCATTTGTGGTTTTTTATTGGAATTATTATTTTTAGCATATTT